TACTGTGATAAGATGCATTCCAGACAAGAAGGCTACGACAATTGCCAGGGAAATGCTTCAAGTTTTCTCACTTTTTGGATGGCCAATCAAGTTGACTTCAGACAGAGGCCTGGAATGGATAAATGAGGTGGTCCGTGCTATGATGGACATCAGTGGGATAGACCATCGCCTGTCATTAGGGTACAATCCATTGGGTAACTCGGTTTCTGAGTCATTTATCAAAATATGTAAGTTAACGACTATCAAGTTGTTAAAAGGTAAGAGGGATCAATGGGAGCACTTCATTCCGTGGGTGAATTACTGCATCAATGTCAAGTATGCTCGGCTACATAAATCTCGTCCGTATACACTTTTGTTTAATCGTCAACCAAATGGTCTGGCTGATTACTCAAAGGTGGACTATTCCAAACGTTTGGAGAAAGCTGATAATAGACTCATTGACAAACGATACCGTTTTGTACAAGATGTTCTTATCCCGGCTATTTCTAAGCGTATTGTGGATACACAAAATGCTGATCATGCTAACTTTGCGAAGAAACATAAGGTCATTGCCGAACCCTATCCTGTTGGTAGTAAAGTCATGATTAAAAATGTTCATCGTCAAAATAAGTTAGATGAACGGTATGAAGGACCTTATTTGATTCATAGTATAACCGATAAAGGTTCCTATGTGCTGGCTGACAAGACGGGTGCACTCCTTAGTCGAGATGTGCCTACCCATCATATCAAGTACCAAGTCGCTGCGAATCCTCAGCCAATCACAATTGATGAATTCTCTGCAGAGCATTACGAAATTCAAGCTGTGATTGATCATAGAGGATCTCCTGGTAACTATGAGTATAAGGTAAAATGGAAAGGGTTCGATGATCCTAGTGAAGATACTTGGGAGCCTGTGAAAAACTTTGATTCGGCCAAACACATTGAGTTGTATTGGGCTCGAAGAGAAGGTGCAAAGGCTGCTGGTAAACGTAGGTTAGCTCCTCAAACAGTTAACTGGCGAACTACTACTACTCGCGAAATTGGTCAGAGTGGTAGATCAAACAGGTCTTAAATGGCTACTAGCATGATGGGATCAAGTCTTTTCCTTACATTTTTGTCCTATGAAAGGTTTTTACACAAGGTTTTTACTGACTGATCTCGGATGCAGTGTCATTTGGTAATTATTTATTGGAAAGTGCTTTATGTGCTATATTGTCATGATGTTTTGTAATCTGGGATTACGAAATGTCCACAAGAAGTACCTGAATCTGGGGGGGCAATGTTGTGCCAGAAGGGCTACAACTGTCTATAAAGATTAAGGTATTCTTGATGGGTAGATATGTCTGTGTTGTGCAACAACATGGACAAGCTATGATAAGTGAAGTGCATCTCAGCTATCTAAATACTGAGGTTCACCAGATGTGATAAGCGTTGTACAAGATAAATTGCTACTTTGGCATTCAGAACTTAGTATAAATAGAATAACTCTTGTCTTCATCAATAAATCTTTAGTTTTTGTGTCTGATCTTATTCAAATAAGTCTTTTCTTGTTTTTATAATATTGAACATTTTTTATAAGCTACAAATAATAATCCTTTTATTCTTTGTGCTTAACAAGTTAGTACTGATTCTACGTCTTCCAGTGCTCGTTTATCGAATGGTACCTACTATATCCCTCTTCAAAGAAGCAGTGTCAAGTTTTTTTAGCAGTACAAGGCAGCGTGATCAGAAGTTGGAGTGTTATTATCATTCGAACGGTTTCCAAACCAACATGATTTGATACTAAACGCGTTTTGCAAAAGAAAAAAAAACGGGGATATGGAAAAATGAGAGGGCGCCCTATCCGACGTCACGGCTAGTAAATTTGGCCTCAGTCTTCTGCCACAGCAGCTGTCGCTGCGGCACTCAAATTTGGGTTTGTGCAGTTGTCATTTTTGTGTTCAAATTTGGCTTGATCTGACATCCTTTAAACGTTTTTGCTAAATTTGACTATGAAAATTGTCATTGTTATACTTTACTTTCTATTGCGTTTATAAAGAGTCATTAAAGGCGCATCGAATGATGCTGGTTACATTTAGTTTTTAGACTGAAAATAATGAGCAATTTGAAAAAATATGAAAACAGGTTTTCTGTGAATATGTCAAAATTTAGCATATACAAGCCTCATAGAAAGGGTTTCCGCTGTTGCATTCCATCTTTACGATCAATTTGATCTGATATGTATCATAAGAAAAGTCTTCATTTTTGAGGTGAAAAACGCGATCGTTTGATTTTCAAGAATTTTCCCTTGCTAATACGCATGAAAAATATGCGAATTTTCATGGATTTGCAATGACCCAAAGAAATTTGAGATAAAGCATCAGGAAGTAAAGCGTGGCCAAAAGGAGGCCTGTGGTACTATTCCAAGCCCTCAAAACGCTTTGTAGCATGAGTTATTCGTGCTTGAAAATGACTAGATTTGAACAGAATTCGACCTAAAACGAAGGGGGTAGTCGGTTGCATTGCCAGAAGAGTAAGTCAATTACGCTTGCGGAATACATCTACTATGATCTGAATTCCGACAGTTCATCCAGTTACCAGATTTAGATACAAATTATATGTGCACTGGATTAGATGTACGATATCGATTTATACTATAAGAAGATGATATTATGGACTTCAGATACGCTAGTACTACTGTAGGGGGAAAAACTGTCCCGTTCGTTCAAATAATCTTGACTTTTACCCAGTATATTGCCAAAACTCAGAAAACAAAGCTACCCCATACTGCGTTCGATAGAACATCCTATAGGGATTACAGCAACATAAAAACCTTATGGCTGGACTATATTTTAATCCCAGTATAACCAGCTAAAGTGAGACGTGGCAAAAATGTTAGGTGGGTAATTCTAGATGATATAAAATGGTTGATATCTTTACTTCCAATAGACGTATTGAAGAAATCTAAAAAACTACCCGCGGTATGCTCAGGACATTTAATATCCCAGGAGCACTCTAATAGTATAAAAGAAGCTAGTTTCTTCATGTTTTTTCTTTATTTCTTTGCTATCTTATTTTTTTTCAAAACTTTCATTTTGCCTGCTCGTTTCACACAAGATTTGCGCAACATTCTCCAATCTTTGCTCCAACGTGGTCTTTCGCTCTCAAAGATAAAGAATTTGTATCCAGGAGTGGGTAACTCTACTCTTACAAGGCTCAGAAAACTATATTGCCCTGACCCAGCTAGACCTCTTGGCGGAAGACCGAAAAAACTTGGTGCTAAAACTATGTCCCTAGTGTCAAGAGGACTTCGATCAGGTGCTTTAGATAATCCCCGAGCAGCACAAGAAATTTTAAGATCGATGGGCCATGATATGTCAATTAATGGCATCCGCAAGTCATTGAGACGAAATGGACTTAAATCTCGTAGAAAAGTAAAGACCAATTTTGTTAGCAAGACAAACAAGCGGCTTCGATTGGCGTGGGCTAAAAAGCATAGGCATCTTACTATTGCTGATTGGCGTCGTTGGGTGTTTTCGGATGAAACAAAAATAAACCTTTGGGGCTCAGATGGTAATTCTTTTTACTGGACGAATGGTGACCGAACCATGCAGCCTCATCAAGTCAAGCCTCAAGTGCAGGGAAATGACGGTGGGGTCATGTTCTGGGGTTGTGTAACAGCGGAGGGGCCTGGTTATGGTACTACCATTATTGAAGACGCAATAAACTCGGGCCTGTATGTCGATATTTCGAAGGCATCATTGAACGACACTCTTGAGCACTTTGGGAAGACACCATCTGATGTGCGATTTCAACAAGACAGAGCAACACCGCATACATCGGGCATTACTAAACAATGGTTTACCGACAATGGGTTTAACCTAGACGAAATCATGGATTGGCCACCCCAAAGTCCCGATCTTAATCCCATTGAACATGTCTGGCATCTCCTAAAGCTTCGTCTTAATAAGTATCCCACTAGGCCCTCTACAAAAGAAAAATTAGAGCGGCGTATTAACATTCAGTGGTACAAAATAACAGAAAAAGAGTGCCAGAAATATATTGATAGTATGCCTGCCCGAATCAAGGCTGCCATCAAGAGCAAAGGTGGTTCAACTCACTATTAATGATTTTATAATAAAATGTACATTTTTCTATATTTATTTTTTAACCAATAAAATCATTGGATTTTAGTTTTTGAAAAAGTTATAATTATGTATAGATAGCACTAATTTCTCTCGTTCAAACGATATATATTTCGACTTTGTATACAAAGAAATGACCAAAAACTTGTGCAAAAAGACAAAATTTTAAACGAACGGTACAGTTTTTCCCCCTACAGTATAAGATTCATACTATATAAGATATAGGCTATAGATGGCACCACGGACATGGATGGCGCTATAGACTTATACTTGTATTCCGGCATAGACTACGGATGTTTGCCATATCTGGATAAGCACCAAGACTAATGCAATATGAGCTTGTTGCTTCAGATGTGCACTTCATGATCCACGCTATAAGACACATGCTTGTATCCGTGATACTAGCTACAAATACTTTATGTACTACAGACTTGTACTATATATGAGACATACTACAGACATGCCATATATCCAGATACATGCTAAAGATGTATGTTCAGCGATATACACTCAGATATGTACTATTGATATAGACTAAGGAGATTGTACCTATCGGATACATGCTACTAGATCGATATTAATTATCCTTATAGAAAGGATAGATCAGGGCACTTTGGATGAGAGTCTAATTATTCATCCAGGCAAAGCTAAATCATGATTAGCTTGCTGGAGTTGTCTTTTAGCATGATTAGACATTAGTTGATCTGAGTTGACTTATTTGCTAATCTAATTAATAGAACTTTTATCCATTGTTATAGTATATAAGAAGGATCATCTACCTGGCCAGTAGAGAGACTTCAGTTTACTTTACACCTGTCAGTTTGATAATAAAACATACCTTTATCAAGTTGACATTACTGTTTTTTTTATTCCTTTTTTTCCGTGAATTTTAGTCTATCAAGCCTCAAATTCCACAGCTCCGTTTGCATGGACAAGTTGTCTAGTGTTGTCGTTCAGCGAAGCATTAGGCTGGGTTACAGCTTGCCTATTCTGTTTCTCCAGCCCATTGATGTACTTGATGGCTTTCGCATGTGCAGTCTTTGTGCTCTTCTTCATCAACTGAGACTTTGTTGTAGAGCGGCTACGTTGTTTGCGTGCTTTTTGGTCTTTTTTCTTCAAGGCTATCTCCTCTGCATTCGTTGGCATTTTCTTGATGACCTTTTTGTTTGATTCCTTCTTTGCCTCTTCTCCTGTGGCTTTCTTGGCTCTCTTAGCAATTTTATAAGCTGCGTCGTTTTTCAACATTTGATGAATAGCGGACGAATATAGAAAAGTGATGCTGGTTTCCTTACAAAGAGTATTTGGTGAGTTGACTCGATTGTTCCACAACCTACACAGTTACATAGTTGGGGAAGATGTTTGTGCTCTTTTCTAAACACCAATTTGTTGAATCACATACCAGCAGATGAAAGTACTTTGCGTTGACTGCAATCAGAAATTTGTATTTGATGTGTGCTCATCAAAATTATTTGCAATGTTTCGAGGAGGTTGCGCATCAAATGCCTTCGCAAAAGAAACTACTGATAGAAACTGTCAATAGCATGCTTGAAACTGTTGTTACGAAAATAATTCAGCGTAGAGAATGAAGCTTGGATTAGATAGACAGGCAGGGCAGTATAGTAAAGGGAAGAAGCTTCTGAGTTAGTCAAAAGAGAAAGCTAAACGAAGCGCAACTAGTAGCGTGGGGGTACAAGTGAGTTGTGGAAAGCATGATAGCCTATTGGGATCAAATGATATTTAGAAGGCATTCCCCAATATTTGCGATCAATAAAAAATTGGCAGCAAGGTATAGTATAGGGCAGAACGTATTATAGGCGGCCATGTATAGGCAGCAAGGTATAGGCAGCAGGGCGTATTAAGCCCAACAGCATTGGATTTTGATATCACATGTGATTTCAATACCATCTGTGATTGATACAAAAATCCCCCAAGTGTTAAAGGAAAGATATATAACTCTGAATGGGTACAAATAGTACTCATTTTTGTAGTGACACATGCAACTCTTTTTGAATACAGTAGTGTGTAAGAGCTGTTTTTCATGTGTATTAGTAAAGGAAAATTCTTGAAAATCAAACGATCGCGTTTTTCACCCCAAAAATGAAAGCTTTTTCTATGATATATATTGAATCAGATTGATTGTAAAAATGGAATGCAACAGTGGAAACTCTTTCTATGGGTGATTTATCAGAAATAAATTATTTATAAAAAGAGTATGAAATTAATCAGGTAAAGAATATCGTTTATTACATTGGAAATAAGAGGGTTTATATACTATTCGAATTGAGGGATTTGATGTGAGGATAAGGTATTAGATGGGTTGATTTGGGTGATAGGATAATAGACCTAATCTATTATCCGGAACATGCCATTATTCGGATCGTAACTGAATCCTGTTTCATGTCAAAGTTTATGATCTGATGTGATCTGTGCTTTAACTAATTGCTCCTACGCATTTGGAGATCCGGTTTAGAAATGACACATCAATGAGGTTTCTATATGCTGAATGTTGACATATTCACAGAAAACCTGTTTTCATATTTTTGCAAATTGCTCATTATTTTCGGTCTGAAAGTTAAATGTAACCAGCATCATTCGATGCGCCTTTAATGATTCTCTCTAAATGCATTAGTAAGTAAAGTATAAGAATTTCATTTTTCATAGTCAAAGTTAGCAAAAACGTTTAAAGGATGTAAGATTAAGTCAAATTTGAACATGAAAATACCCACAACACAGTTTCAAATTAAAATGCAGCAGTTACGGCTGCCACGGCAGAAGACTGAGACCAAATCTACTGGTCGTGACGTCGGATAAGGTGTCCTCTCATTATTCCATACCCTGTTTTTTCAAAACGCGTTTAGTATCAAACCATATTGGTTTTGAAATCCTTTTGATTGAAAATATAACTCTAGCTTTTGATGACACGGTCTTGCACTGTTACAAGTACTTGATACTGCTTCTTTAAAGTGGCATATAATAGGTACCATTCGATAACGAGCACTGGCATACGTAAAATCAGCACTAATTGAATTTTTTTATTAGGTTTTGATAATTTTTTTGCCTGTTTGACGTGGGGGCTGCTGCCATTACTTCTCTGCTATCTCTGCTGCCTGCTTCCTTGGTTTATCATGTCTAGTGGTTGCTTTTTTGGTCATTGTCTGGTTTCTGCTGGTAACGTTCGTTTTTTGGTTTTTCTATAGTGCTGGTGTTGCTGCTGCTGCTGCTGCTGCTGCTGCTGCTGCTAATATGGTCTTTTCTGGTCTACTGTATTCGGTGTATGCTCGTTCTGTGGTCTGTCTCCGGTGATTGCCTCTACTATTCAGGTGTATCTATGGCTGTGGTGAGTGGTAAGTATCATATTTCTTCTGGTCGCAATGATATAAAACTTCTTTGAACGCTTGTATGATTGCTTCCTTTCTTGTGATAAAGCATTCATGACGTTTGCCTTGTTGCGCTTTCTTCTTTTTTTTTCTGTTGTTGGTGGTGTTTCCTCTGTCGCTTCACATGAAACAACATTAATCATTGTGCTGTATTGCATACTTATAATACCACTGTTGCTTTTGCAGTTGTGCGTATTTGTGTCATGTTGCTTTACTTCCGACTATTACTACCATCATGCGCGTTGCTGCTCATGTATGCATTTTTCTTGCAACAGCAACGAGTTTTTTAAAACACCTTTGATGTTGTGTTTGTTATGCTTTTCTTTGACTCGCTTAGCGTGAGTGTTCCTTTTTTGCTTACATACTACTATACTCGTTAGTATTGTAGCATGTTCTTTTCTTCATTCTTTTATTATTTTTATGTTTCTTTAAAACATACCTTTTTTTTACGTTGTGTGGATGTGCCTATCCCTGAAGCTCAACAAGACTCTATCCGAGGCTAGGAGGTAGATAGGCTGTCTCCACTTGGTTATTACTACTTACTTTAGTGATGATTGAGAGTCTCAACGCCAGAATTTAAAGCTAGGTGGTGTAAGTAAGGCATGCTCTAGCACCTGAGGGAAGTTTGATGATAGCAGCGGCTATATTGCTATTATAGCGGCGCTTAAAATTTTGCCTCACATCAAAACAGGGGGAAACCCTCGCAAAATTTTTTTTAGGTCAGCGGAGTTTTCAAGCAATCTGATTGGCTCAGAGGTTGGAACAACGAAGGGTTACAACCAGTTGATTTCCTATTAATCTGTCATTTATTAGAAATTTGTTTTTGTAATAAAAATATACATAGTCAAACATGCATAGTTTATTATTGTTTTACATGTTTCAATCTCATAGACCACTCTCTTCTATCACGTATCAAAGATTCTGGATGTATACAGTTACTCTCGGTTTCGAGGTTAAGGCATTCCAAACTCAAATTTTGACATAATATTGATACTAGAGCTCTAAAAGTAACATGTTCTTATTGCAAAATTATGCTATTAAAATGACAATGTAGTTGAATTGTAGGTTGAATAATGGATTGTTGTTCAGAAGCCGATGATTTTCGAATAAGACACTTTCGAGCAACGGCCTTTGTATATAACCTATTGAAAGCTGCTAATTACAAGCGACCAATGGTCATGCATATGCATATGGTTCAATAGATGATGTGTCTGACGTATCATTTCTAACTGGATCTCTAAATGCCAAGAAACTCTTCGTTCAGGCACAAATCACATCAGAATAATCCTGTCACCCAGAGTAAACCATCTAACACCTTTTCCTCACATCAAATCCCTCAGTTGGAATAGTATATAAACCCTCTCATTTCTAATGTAATAAAGGATGTTCCTTACCTGATCAATTTTCATACTCTATTTTTTTTCTAAATAATATAATTCTAATAAATTAATGATGTTGCATATCGTTGTTTTTCTAACAATCTGATTTTGGCTGACCTATTAAGCATAGTAAATTCATGAGAACTGATACTGTGGATAATTTAAGTAATAGTATTTCAATCGGCAGCCAGCTCGTGGTTCTACACAATGAATATTGCTATAAATAAGAGTGTACAAATCGAGTACATGCTTTCCGTCAAATATCCTCAAAATATCTGAAAGACAGGCTTGTTTCAATACAAGCAGTAGGATGACCATTAAGGGTGGTACCATTGGATGCGCATTTAAATTATGTACACACTTGTTTTGAGCTAGGAACAACGTTTATTATTGAGAATGATACTTTTGAGCGATGGAAAGGCGCTAGTAGGTATCAATTATATTGGTGTCGAGCTAATGGTAGCTCGGGCATCTCAGATGGAGTCCATGAAAGCTCAAGAATGCTAGTCCAGCCAAATATGTGGTCGATTTTTCGCTCGCAGTGTGCCATAACCTTCCAAATAATTTGTTAATTTCAGGTTATTAATGGATACTTGACATGTTGATAATTCATGCTTTTAAAACTAGATAAATGTAGCTTGCTCTGTTCTAATTTTCTAATCCATTAAACCTTCTAGTTTAAGGTATGCATAGTCTCCTCATTTGAAAAATGCTATCTGTATAGTGTCCCTTAGCTCACCTACTAGACTTCCTCAGCTTTTCTGTAAAAGATTTGTTCCTGGTGGACCTCTACCACTTGATTGCATGTTCAAATACCCTGGATTATACAGATGCAATGTGGCAAACAAAACAGAGATGGGTTAGTCAAATATAGCAGCTTATTTATTATGACAAACAATTGTATCTAAACGTAAAACTTACAAGAGAGATAGGGATGACAGATGGTGATGGTATGTTTGTCTTTTCTTTTACTAATGATGCTCGTTATTGAACACAATTCGCCGATCGAGAATTTTCGCTCGTCGTCGTGCCGCATATCCCGAAAAACTTGAACGACCATTTCGTAAATTAAGCTTGTTTCTCATAATGTGAAAGATAGTCAACATTAACCTGACCATTGGTTGCTGATAAAGGTGATTGCAATAGTCAGTAGCCTAAAACTAATCCTTTAGAAGCGAACATGTTTGATGTAAGTCCAGTTAATCGTAGCGCCGTTGCATGGTAAAGTGCATACGATATTAGCTTTTGACGGGGTTACCTAAACGCTGATGTAAACTAGGTACTAGTGAGAATATATTCTAGGGCTAGTAAATTGCATAGTAGCACAAGATTTCTGTCAATTGAATCAATAAATACATAATCCGTTGATAGTACATACTAGCAACAATCTACTATCTCCCACGTATTGTAAAATTAATATATGCAAACACCTAACTCATGACTATGTGGCAAAATACAGAACTATACTATAATTTCACACACACAAACACAGACACACACACACACGCAATATAGTTGATGAAAATGTAGTTTATTCAAGAAAAGATGGAGGGGGTAAAGTAATAAACGGCTGCAAGATGTAGTAGAGATTATTTAGATGTGGAAGATGTTTGTTGAAGATCCTTCTGACCTGTTGGATATTTGGGCTTGGAATTATGACTGAAACTAACGCCATTGTCTCTACGCCAGAGAATTTCAGGTTGCTTACGAGAGGACCACTCAGGATCGAATTGAACTGTGCTTGATTTTCTTCTGGCCAAAGCAATGGGACTCATGCTTTCAGTTTCAGAAGATTGTGAGTGTCTGCGGTTAGCGTACACGGCAGCGGCACCAACAGCGCCTAATGAGATAATTGTAGCGGGTCCAGGCATTGTAGAATGTTGATTGTTTAGTTGATTGAGAAAGAAAGAAAGAGTGTAATGAGTAGAGAAAAAACTTGAGGATTTGCCACCCTTTATATACATAATGAAACAACCAAGTTAAAACTTCACCTTACAACAAGCTATAGTGTAACCAGCACATGACATGAAATTAATGCAACGTATTTGTGTGGGTATAATTTACCATCTTTATTTAGTATATGTATTTTGGTTTATTTCTTTACATGATGATAGTTCGCTATTGGCATACCTGATTTGTTCATTTTTTCAAGAAAATGGCCATATTAGTATTTTGACAAACTCTTAAATTTATACTCTTACATTTCCAATGCTCAATAGATTCAAACAGCCAATGGTCTGTCACCATTCTCTTATCATTTAACATTTTAGTCTTATCGCAAATAATGATATCGGCTTCTTGATCATTTTCTACTATGGTTCCACCAGCTAATTTGACTAATTCCTTGATAAAATCAACACCACTTGATGATGAATGAACTTTGATACGAGTGGTGGATGGTATTAATCTCTCACGCTTTCTTGCTGCCTTAGCTCGAGGATACCAATCCAACAGTTCGAATTTATCCTCTGGTATATACTCTCCCTTGATCTCACACTGAATGAGCCTGTAGTTTGACATCCCATTTTTGGTTATTGTGTGATGTAATTTGTAATTTATGCAAATCCTTACCACTCAGGATTCAAAATCCAAGCACCTCGTAAAAAACCCAAGGTCACTGATTTTGTTCGTCGCTGAGCACCAGCTAGAAACACGATGATGATGAATAATTATTGACGAGAAATCTAGCCCAGTCTATACTTTCTTACCTAAAACATGGCTCGTCGTTTCTGTTACTCTGCAATAATTCACACACATGGTTAAATTAGGCCGAGACATTACTTTTGATAAAAGCAACTTACTCTGTAGCCAATTGGTAATGACCAAGCTTCTTAATAATGTCCTCGTACCTCTTGCGAGTAGATGGGGTCATACTCGTCAAAACTATCGTCTGAGGCTGATTGTTTGTCTCTGATTTAGGTGGCTGTGGTGTATCGATTGAGCCTGAAAGGGAAGGTCGGCCCAGTGTACCTGTCAATCGTCGCTTCCTCTTGATGGGCGTCGAACTGACTTGTGTAGGTGAAGAGATTGATAATTTAGATGGATCTATTTGTCGTAGGGTATCGTCTAATTTATTATCAGTTGCGCTGCTGCCGTTGCTAGTAGTGCTGCCATTCGCACTACTAGGTTTTGTATCAGGGTTACTTGTTGGTGCTTGTCCAATAGAAAATCTCGCTTTGATCTGTTCCTTCATCTCTAGGCTGGGTGCATGAACAGGTAGCGTAGTTGGTGTCTTTTGCTTTTTAGCTATATGTCGACTCGCAATGGATTCGACGGAGATGGGCAGTGAAAGTCGAGGTGGTAAGATGTCCTGCTCCACGTCTTCATCGTACGCTTCTGCTTCTTGGATTTGCCGTTTTCTGGTCAAACTTTCTCCTACTGATGGCTTCTTGAAATCTCGCGCAATCCAGTTACTCGTTGCTATTGTCTGCCGCCTGGTTTCTACTTTTGAGTCGTCGTGTGTTGATCCATCGCTGGATGATGATACTAGCTTATGCATCAATCAACTGTAAACCAACCCGCGTCCTTCCAACACACTTACTCGATGCCTCCAGATCGCTTGATACGAGTGCTCTCACTTTGCCTGGTTCCATTGACTTCCGTCTCTTTTTTCCTGCAATAACAAGCCCCTGCGGTCGTTCGATTATAAAGTCTTTCTCTGGCAGTCGTTTGCCTTCACGTTTGCATCTCGAAATCCACAGTAAATTGATGATGAATACATTCTTGCTCATGGCTTTCTTCAATGTTGCTGGCGATCCATTCTTAAAGATCAGATGTGTGATAGAGTCTATATGATATATAGAGGTCAACGAATTACAGAGATCCATCTACTATATTGATATCGGATACATTACCACTGAATGTTCGTCGAGTCTGAACAAGAAGAAGAAGAAGAAGAAAGGAGAGTCAGTCGTACTTCAATTATGTATATATATATATATATGAGATGTTATAATCGCACCTTTGCTCCCATGGATTGCAATGCTCGTTCAAAGTTTTGCGATACATCATCACCATCCTCAGTTCTTACGAGAGGAAAAAACCACAAACAAACAAACAAACAGTAAGGTCCTGGTCATGACTATTCATGTTAAAAACCCCCCCATATTTACCTCACGTCCAGACAGGCGACAACACCATTCAATATCTTGTTGCTTTGCACGCTAGTAGATGTATTCTGCGTCTCTGATAAGGCGGGGCTCTTTTGTCTTTGCCTTTGGGGAAGTTGCTGTGATGACGGTGGCGGCTGCTTCAGTGGCTGCGATGTGGAAGGACGTGAAGCTCGATGATGTTGATGTTGTGCAGGGACAATGGGCTGGCCCTTTTTCAAAAAGTCGGTTATACCAGTTTGTTTGGATTTCGATGCACTGTGTCTAGCATTTTTCAAAGCTGACAACCGAGAGCTGTTGCTGGGAGGAAGCACCATGATTTTGCCTAGAAAAAGATGATAGACAGAACAAGAAGAACAAGCATCATGATGTGTTCAACATGAATTAATTGCATCCGATCAAGACTCGTGCAAGTCACTGCAGGTGACTGGACAAAGCGTCTGTTGCTAGTAGTTGTTTGATCCTGCATCTGATTTAAACAATGAGGACAATGGATGTAAGATATCATATGTATGTAATTGGGTTGATTGACTCTTTGCGCCCTTAAATAGCAATGTCCATACCATCTCTCATTGTAAAATATGCCATTAATCTGAGCATGGGATTGGAACGGCATCAGTGGCATTTTATGGTTGATGTTGCCGCCAATGTGTTATTATCCCTAGAGAACTCTCTCGTGATGCTATGCTATAGTCTTGGGCAAAGTCGATATGAGTATCTCATCATTCATAAAACTGATCTCTTGTATCAGGCACTATCTGTTTGCCATCTCAACGTAAAGCAAACTGCTTGGCATTTGGCATGGCTAGCTCATTGGATGCTCGATCTATCGTCTTGCTCAGGCATTTGGATTCACTGATCCATTGGTCACTTGGGCAGCAGGTAAGATGGCTAAATGTCGTTTGTTGATTGCAATGTAAAATGTGGATGCTGAAAGCGGCTTTCCACGTTCAGGGCTCAGTAAGCTATGACTTATGAGATCCAAGTCGTTTCCAAGATGATCGATTACAAGCCATGTAGATTCCCTGGAGAACAACCCCAAAATGAACCCGTCTTTAACGTGCATTGATGTGCTCTCGGCTGTACCTACTTTTGAGATATCAAATCAACTAGGTGACGCACTAATCGGAAGATTAATGGACATCAGGTGGAGAGAAAAGTTTTTTTTTTTTTTTTATAAAGCAATGGATGCAATGGCAAAAAGCCTCATTTATACTTTGCACTAAATTTCATTAAAATGTCTGGTAGACAAGGTAGGTTGATTGTTGCGGATAGCATAACATCTTGTATGCTAATGCATGATTGAAAAAGGTGGTAAGCTCAAGCCTCTCAAGAAGCCCAAGAAGGCTGAGAACTTTGAAGATGAGGTAAATGCTAGATTTCGATGGCTATCTGATGTGATATTAAAGAATTTTTCATTGGGTTTGTAGGAGGATATTGCCTTCAAGAAGAAGAAGATGGAGGAAGCCAAGAAGTTGAAGGAAATGCAACAAAAGGCATCTGGAAAGGGTCCTTTGCGTAAGTGCACCAACATGAAGTGAATGATGGCCTGTTTTACTGACGATGTTGGTGTTTGTAGTCGGTGGTGGTATTAAGAAGTCTGGCAAGAAATAAATGAATTCATACAGCCTTTGTATCTCTTGAAATAAACCTTGATTTGAATCCTATTTGCTTGGTCGTATTGCACATTCAGTGGATTTGTTCGTCATTAGATGCGAAACTGGAATTGAATATGTTGAGATGATGGGAAAAAGTTGCTTGAGATGATATAATGCCTGGATCTGGCACTATGAGGCAGACCCAACAAGATTACAGCAGAGCAAGCTATACAACATCAATCTCACCTGGTGGATGATGGGATAGCTCGCTCTGTTTTAGAGAGAGAGTATATCTCTAGAAGATTGGCATCTTGAACCTCGCAGCCGATCATCAGTCTTATCCAGATCCAACATACAAAGGAGGAAACCCAAGCTCTAAATTGGCACAAAAAGCCTATGCGTCACCTTTGAACAACCATCATTGCCACACATTACGCTACGACAGAAGAGATTGATATTTGGATCTTTCACAAGTTTTTTCCCACGGATACAGTGTGTGGTAAAATGAATAAATTTGGTTTCCCCTTTTCTCGAGGTCTTTGCTTTTCTTCTTTTTTTTTTTTTTTTTACATAGTTGTTTTTCCCTGGAAACGAAACCAAAAGATGCTTCAACTTCATACACGATTGTCAACATTGGCAATCTACACTACAAAGGCTGTGCTGAGACCATACCGCTGCCATGGTGTCAAGGACTCCGCTGCCATCAGAAGTATTCATACTTCCAACGTCATGAGAGGTAAGGATGAGGAAAGAGGGATGGGAGTCAGCGGTTGATCAACATACATACATACATACATACATAGAACGCAACCCCTTGTTTGAGAAGATCTTGATTGCCAACAGGTAAGTTGTTGATTCATCAACATGCGTGAATGTGTGCGTGTGTGGATCAGACTGGATATTGATCTCCACTCTTCCCTTATGACAGAGGTGAAATCGCCATTCGCGTCATGAGAACTGCCAAAGAGTTGGGTATCAAGACAGTCGCAGTGTATAGTGAGCCTGATGCCAACGCTCAACATGTCAAAATGGTAATAAGCGCAATGCAGACGTGGTAATGTCATGTTGTCTCAAGCATCCCATTGTTGTTGTAGGCTGATGAAGCTTATTTGATTGGCCCCGCTGCCTCCGCCGAGAGTTATCTCTGTATCGACAAGATTATGAATGTTGCCAAAATGACCGGATCTCAAGCCATTCATCCTGGCTATGGTTTCTTGTCTGAAAACGCGGATTTTGCAGACATTGTCAAGGCCTCCAACATTGCCTTCATTGGTCCCTCTGGCGATGCGATGCGTTCTATGGGTTCTAAAAGGTAAATTTTGTTATCCCACGATCATTTACAATTTTTTTCTCACACTTCTTCTTTTTGATGTAACCCTCAGTGAGTCTAAATTTATTATGCAAGACGCTGGTGTCCCTGTAGTTCCTGGCTACCACGGTGAAAACCAAGACGTCGGTTTCCTGAAGGATCAAGCCGAGAAGATTGGCTATCCCGTCTTGATCAAGGCCATCAAAGGTGGTGGAGGCAAAGGTATGCGTATCGTGAGATCTCCCTCTGAGTTTGAAGAGATGCTCGAGTCTTCCAAGCGTGAATCCATCAAGTCCTTTGGTGATGACAAGGTGTTGGTTGAAAAGTACTTGGAACGTCCTCGCCACGTCGAAGTCCAAGTGTTTGCTGACAAGCATGACAATGTCGTTCATTTGTTTGAGCGTGATTGCTCAGTTCAAAGACGCCATCAAAAGGTCATTGAAGAAGCTCCTGCCCCTGGCTTGACCGAGGAGCTTCGTGCTGAATTGGGTGCCAAGGCTGTCGCTGCTGCTCGTGCTGTCAACTATGAAAATGCCGGTACCGTCGAGTTCATCATGGACAATGTAGACAAGCAGTTCTATTTTATGGAAATGAACACTCGTTTGCAAGTCGAGCATCCTGTTACTGAAATGGTCACCAAGACTGATTTAGTTCGCTGGCAATTGGAAGTTGCTGCAGGCAACCCCCTTTTGATGAGACAAGATGAGCTCAAATTGCACGGCCATGCTTTCGAAGCTCGTGTCTATGCCGAGAATCCCTCCAAGTAAGTTTTTCTATCATAGCATTCACATGTACCATGGTCTAAACATCAGTTACATAGCCACTTCCTCCCCGACACTGGACCACTCTTCAGTGTGCGCACTCCTTTGCCTAGCGAGAACGTCCGCTTGGAGACAGGTTTCATTCAAGGAGACCAAATCAGTGTCCACTATGATCCTATGATTTCTAAGCTGATTGTCCATGGCGAGAACCGTAACGATGCTCTTCGTCGCTTCCGCAGAGCCCTTGAACAATATCAAGTTGTTGGCTTGAACACCAACATCAGCTTCATCAAGACTGTTGCTGAACATCCCGAATTCATCAAGGGTGAGGTAGAGACTGGCTTCATTCAGCAATATGAAAAGGATCTCTTCAAAGATGCAGGAGCCCCTGACCCAACCACCTTGGCTTTGGCTGCGAGTGCTCTTAGATTAAAGGAAATCGACAATATCAAGAAGAGTTCCCATGGTACGTGCATCTTGATCAGACGACATTGATTGTGTCTACACAGGATGTTTATTAATCCATTCTTACTTGTTGCAGATCCCTACAGCCCCTGGAACACTCAGACTGATAGTTTCCGCATCAACAACATCAACCACAGAGAGTTCTCAGTTACCGCTAATGACCACCCTTACAAGGTGATTGTATCTACCAACAGCACACAATCTCATTTGGTGGATATGGAGGTTGTTGATGCTGCCACCAACGAATCCATCAAGACATTCACTGCTGTCGATAGCCGTCTTGATAAGGACGGCTTGATGGTTTCTTCTATTGATAGCAAGACACTCAAGAGCAATGTCGTGTTACATGATCAAGATGTTGTTGTTTTTGATGAGGTAAAAATGAAAAAGCAAGACATGAATTCGTTTGTTTGTTTTTTTGTACTTACTCACTGTTGTTTAGTTTGGTCGCACAACATTCAAGTTGCCAACACCAAACTACATCCTGGGCAATGGCGAGAATCAAGGTGCTGGTTCTGTAAAGACTCCTATGCCCTGTAAGATTTCCCAGGTGTTTGTCAAGCCAGGCCAAGTCATCAATAAGGGAGACACATTGATTGTTCTGGAGGCCATGAAGATGGAGCATGTTATCAAGGCGCCCGTGTCTGGTACAATTGACCAAGTGTTGTACACAGTGGGAGATTTGGTAGCTGAGAACAAGAACCTAGTAACATTTGCTAATGAATAAAAAAATACACACAAGCTTATAGAAACATACGTATTGTATATATCAAGTTAGCTCATGTAAAATTGCTGTTTGTTTTTGTTGTTTAACTTACTCCTGTTTTTTTTAAAAAAAAAAATTATTGCTTAGCTAAGGAGTAGGTATATATATATATAGAAAATACAAGATACAAGATATCCTGTTTATGCACGATATACTATCCGGAGGGACGGATCAATCGATCGCAGTATATATAAAATGGCATTTCATTATCGTGAACCTGAACCTTTTTTTTTTCTCCTTAACTCTCTTTTGCTATTATCGTCATGTTGTCCTCCAACTCTATCCAAGAAAGCAGTTTTATCTCTACTAAATCAAAGCAAATTCAAACCATCCTGCCTTATGGTAAGCACGATCCCAATCAGATGGAGACGGCTCAAAAAGCACAAGAAGACGTAAGTATCGTACTATCCTCATACAATGCCAGGTTCTGATGCTAATCTATCATACAGATCTTGTTGGAGCCATTCCATTATCTCGTCTCCAATCCAGGTAAGGATGTGCGTGCCAAGATGATTGAAGCCTTTGATGCCTGGTTGCAAGTACCCAAGGACGACTTGGTTGTGATTACTCGAGTCATTGAAATGCTGCATAGTGCTAGTTTGCTGTAAGTTGACATGCCATCTATACATGTGGATGCATTTCTAATCCATTGCAGCATTGACGATGTCGAGGATGAGTCTGTATTGCGTCGCGGTGTTCCTGCTGCTCATCACATTTACGGTACCCCTCAAACTATCAATTGCGCCAACTATGTCTATTTTCTAGCACTGAATGAAATTGCAAAACTCAACAAGGCCAATATGATCACTATCTATACAGGTTGGTGTTGCTTGTATTCATGCGTCACATGAATAGTACGTTAACCAAGATGTGCTCATTTAGAGGAATTGATCAACTTGCATAGAGGCCAAGGTAGATTTAATGTTGAACAGCGCTAGACTTGTCCAGTATGTGTATGCTTACTGTTGTGATAGGAATGGAGCTTTTTTGGCGTGACACATTGACTTGTCCTACAGAGCAAGAGTTTCTTGACATGGTGAATGACAGTAAGTACATTGGTTTGAGGAGAAAATGGACCTGAAAACTGAAATGTCCCCCCCCCTCCTCTTCAAAGAAACTGGCGGTCTATTGAGATTGGCTGTAAAACTCATGCAAGAAGCAAGCCAGTCTACCATGTAAGCACATGCAGAGATAGCATCCGCTGCAAACGTGTACTGACACAAACATTTGGCACAGTGATTACACAAGTCTTGTCAACAAGATTGGCATCCACTTTCAAGTAAGAGATGATTACATGAATCTACAATCAAAGCAGGTATGTGCTTCAGCAGTAGAGCAAGAGAATAGTCATCTCATCCAACCCATTCACTAGTATGCTGATAACAAGGGCTTTTGCGAAGACTTGACCGAAGGAAAATTCTCGTTCCCTATCATTCATTCAATCCGTGCTGACCCTACCAATCGTCAACTGACAAATATCTTGAAGCAAAGAAGCAACTCGATTGAGCTCAAGCAATTTGCACTGCAATTGCTGGAAAAGACAAATACATTTGCCTATTGCCGTCGATTCTTGACCGTTTTGGAAAACGAAGCAAGAGAGGAGATCAAGTTGCTGGGAGGAAACCGCATGCTAGAGAAGATCATGGATGCATTAAGCATTAGAGAAGAAGAGGAGGAGGCTTAATCTTGGCGATCAATGTTTGACACATTCAATAAAGTATGAAGTGCACTGTTCTGTTATTTGACAAGTTGGCAAACGGGCTCTTGAGGGGCTCTGATGACTTTTGATAGCACCGCTTTCATGTGTCACTCTAGATACAAATCTTGGTAGGATTTGATATACTATTAAATGTAGCAACATAATGAATCTGATCATCAGCCGGATGAATCCAACTCGCAACAGGAGCAAGATAAAATCTCAAATTCAACGCAAAATAACCCACATAAACTACCTAAAGTATGGGGCTTGACTTCCTTGTGACGCACTGAGTCTGTTGCAATGGGCATAACTTATATACGGGCACACGGCATAACTTGCATTACCATTTATTACTCAAAAGTATGCAAAACACAGCGAAATTTTCATGCATTCGAGCAGTGATTTCTCGTGTTAGAATCCGTTTTAGACTGCCAGAATAGCACCAAACCATTGCTCTCGTGCAGCAGTTACTTTTCGACCCCTTTACTCAATTTTTTTTTTTTTGGACTTAAAAAACATCGCCAAAAAGCATGAGGTACCTCCCTCATGGTTTTCATCGAAAATCAAACGATCGCGTTTTTCATCTTGAAAATAAAGACTTTTACTAAGGTATATCTTAAGTCGAAATGTTTCTCTCAATTCGAGGCAGCCCATGAAACTTTGTTTATGAGACATTCATATGTAAAATTTCGACATATTCGCAAAAATCGTCAATTCATATTTTTTAATTTTACTCTTTAAATTTATTCGTAACATTTTTTATATTTGGCACCATTGGATACAGCTTGAAAAATGCCCCAGGATTGTATTAGAAAGCATGTGCTGATCATTACAATCTATATTGCTAAAGCTTTCAAAATAGATCAAACAAGTCGATTATGGATTAGATCTGGCCAATCTGAAACAAAAATGTGACGGAATTCAAAAGGTTTTGGCTGCTGCTCGTTGGCTACTGACAAAGATGCCTTTCCACATCATGAAGGCAATCAATATGTATGAAGCTGATTCGAAGAGAACTGAGAGTTGCAAAGTACTATAATGTAGCATGGTTAGTTTATTTCTTTGCCATTCATAGCCATATTTAATAAGCTTAATTGTCGCAAATTGCTCTCCCAATTACCGAATGCAAAACTGTCCGCCTACTCTGAATCGCACAAACACTTAAACTATTGATCCCATGTTGTTTTAATGTTACATACTCTATGGAAACAATAGTGCTGCCTATGACATTGAGAAATTGAATGAAACCATTGCGTCAGCGTATCCCAAGAAACAGAAGTTGAATCAAGCTTGAATGAGAATTCGTGGTCATTTGATTCATCAATGCTCCAAAGATCAGCAATCAAAAAGGTAAAAACTGGCTTCCAATGTCTGTTAAACATGCAATTTGGCATCGGCAAATGGCATTTGTTTGTCCAGATTGTGCATGTTATCAAACGTAAAACGCAGGCGTCTCACCAGATACAGAATACACACGCACAAGCTCGTGATCACATCTCCTGTTTTTTTTTTTTTTTTTTTTTTTTTTTTTTTTTTTTTGCCAGTGTTTATTTTTTGATCCAAGGCTAACGGATTGGAACACAAATCTTTTAACTCACAGAAAGGACAGAACCCCAAGCATTTGACACCATAATACTTTAGTGGGCCATTCTCCCCCTTAAAAATTTCCACATATCCAAGCAATTTAAAGCAATCCCTCTAATAGGTAAGGTTTCTTGAATCAGCAACATCCGACGATAGTTCATGAAGGAGTTTGTAATTGCCAAGAGAAAATAGAGTGTGATATCTGTGTATCAATGATCGAAAAAAGGCAAATGCAAATAGATGCCCTCTAATCCTGTATAGTGCGATTTAGGCTATTGCGAAAAATTTAAGGGGATGGACTCGAAGGATTTGTATATATGAAAATAAAGGGACTCTTGTCCATATTTGAAAGTTTTTGTTTTAATAATAATCAGTTTATTTATTAGTTTATTTGCTTTTGTTAAATGAGAGGAGGTACAAGAACATCTTATAATTAAAGCCGTATATAAATAGCAGGTGGCATTGAGTGACGGGTTCCAGTATACAATCGTTGCCCCCATCCGATTTCGTCTTCTTCTTCTTCTTCTTCTTCTTCTTCACCATCTTTTCTTCATCATCTCATACACATCATGCCCGCATCGATACCATTTTTAAGTCTATTCTCAAGGTCTAAAGCCGTCTTTTCAAAGCTGAATGGGCATAAGCAAAAGACAAAACAACGACCGACACAACTGTATTTTAATACCTCAGCCTCAAGCTTACCTACAACAAGCTCTTCATCTAGCACATCTTCAAATGCAACCATCGACTCTATACTAGACAACTCGTCATCTGCTTGGTTATTCAAGAGAGGAAACAGTTATTTGTTTGGAAGAAATGGGTATCAGAAATCACAAAAGTTAGCAGTTGCTTACTTTGAAAAGGCAATGGCATTGGGCAATCCCAAAGCAGAAGGCGTGTTAGGGTTCTGCTACGAGTTTGGCATGGGCGTGGAAACCGACTTTGTGCAATCAGAATATCACTATATACAAGCAGCAAAGAAGAACGACGGGCTCAGCATTGCCAGATTGGCGTTCCTAAGAAAATATGGAAGACCCAACGTAAAGATTGACCGTTCAGAAGCAGAAGAATGGACTGAGCGTATCAGACATAAACCCAATGCAATCCAATGGATAATTGAAGCGGCATCAATCAGCAATGACTCTGCTGCTCAATATGCACTCGGTGTTTGTTATCATGATGGCATATCTGTGCCTAAAGATGAACATGCTGCTTTCCGTTGGTACAAGGCAAGTGCAGATCAAGGCAATGCCCGTGGTCAGGGCATTTTAGGTTATTGCTACGGCGAAGGATTTGGTGTGGAAAAAGACGAAAAGATTGCAATGGATTACTATCGCTTAGCTGCTGCTCAAGGAGAAACTGTGGCCATTTACAACATTGGCTATTGTTACGAGGATGGTATCGGAGTCGAGAAGGATCCAGTAGAAGCTGTTCGCTATTACAGAATGGCAGCTGAACAAGGCAATGCATTTGGACAAAACTCATTGGGATACTGCTATGAAGATGGCATCGGCGTAGAGGAAGATTTTGACGAAGCAGCTAGATTATATCAGCTTTCTGCTGAACAAGGATACCCTTGGGCTCAGTGCAATTTGGGCTACTGCTATCAAAATGGTATCGGTGTCCCCAAAGACGCTTCCCTCAGTGCTTACTGGTACAAGAAGGCTGCTCTCCAGGGCCATGCTCGTGCGCAACATAATCTTGGCTTCTGCTATCAGAATGGTATTGGTGTAGAGCGGGACGAAAGTAAGGCAATCGTTTGGTACAGGCGTTCATCAGAAAGAGGCAACATATTTGCATATCATTCTTTGGGCTATTGCTTCCAGAACGGCATTGGCGTACCTGTCAATGAACAAGAGAGCTTCTTTTGGTACTATCTCAGTGCTCAAGAGAACCATCCACCTGCTCAATTGTCCTTGGGTTATTGCTACAGAAATGGCATTGGTGTTCCCAAAAACGAAGAGGAAGCTTGCAAATGGTTCCGCAAATCAAGCGAAAATGGGAACGCCCTGGCTCAAAACTCGTTAGGCTTCTGCTATGAAGAAGGAATTGGTGTCAAGAAAAACCCTCAAAAGGCTGCCTTTTATTATATGAAGTCTGCAAAGCAAAACAATCCTTGGGCTCAATGTAACCTCGGGTTTTGTTACGCAAATGGTATTGGAGTTACTCAGAGCAACGAACATGCTGTTTACTGGTATCGCAAAGCGAGTGCTCAAAATCATGCACGTGCACAGGACAAGCTTGGCATGCATTTACAGAGTGGATTGGGTGTAGAAAAAGACCTGGAGGCTGCTTTCCAACTTTTTGAAAAGGCTGCTGAAAATGACAACATTTCAGGGCAATACCACTTGGCCAACTGTTATGAGCGGGGCCTGGGCTGTGAGATTGATCTACAAAAAGCAATGAGATATTTCGAGCGTGCTGCTTTAGGTAGGTTGCCTTGTGTATAGTATTCCAATAAGAAATTAACCTTTTTGCGTTTAGCTGGCTGTCGAAATTCCCATGAGAGACTAAGACTGTTGATTGTACGAGAATGTCTACTCTCCCCTGAGATCACATCTACATTGGCAAGTGCAAATGAGGAAGATTTGATCTTTGGAGGGCTGATTATAGGCCACAGTGCGCCGGCCGCTTAAGCTTGTCTTATACCTATTATTTTTTCATCGCTGCAGATTTATGTATCAACGAAATCAAAACCTACACACAAAAAAATAACTATACCTCTATTGCAAATTCCATATCTCGCTTCATACAATACCAATTTCTCTCTAAACTTGCTTTCAAATTGTAACTGCTAATGTATCAATGAATAAAACTTTCATGACTCTCCAGCAACTTGTATATTTTCATGTAAGAGGCGTTTGTTTCTGCCAAACATACCGAGTTTTCCATCGGAAAAGCAAATGCAATGCATGCTACAGCTATATGCTGTCTACGATTGGTGTATTTGTTTGCCTGACATATGGATACCACGTATAGAAGTAAGGTACTTGATTATTGATAAACAAATACGTGAAAACACATTCAAGAAAAAAGTTCATGTAGTCATACATGGCTAGTGTATGCAGATCAGAAGTGCGTTCCTTCGTATAATTCAAGCGTGGATGAAGCAAGTGGTATTTTAAGCATGAGAAGTTAATTTAGAGCGAATGGAAGCAAATGAAGTCTTCATATTAAAGTGAAATAACAATACGTCTCTTGGCAAATCCTATCATGTATGTGCGATTTACTAGTTGATGGCTATCATATCACAACATTCGTCAAGGATATACCCTCGCTCAAGCTGTAGACAATGGGGAGCAATCGCCCAGCCGCAATATCCAGGCATTAGAAGAACTACCATACAATATTCTTGTCAGAATCAGTAACAAGTACTAAAGTTTGCACGCAGGTTATATCTTTGGTACTGTTATTTTATCTATCGTCGATCTAGATGATGCACTTATGTATGGTTTTCGACCAAATAGAATTAGAGGAAGGGTTTAGCTCTAAGCAATATAGCAAAGCCGTAAGAGCTAAACCTGTTGTTTGTAGAAGTTGACTCGAATTACTATATATGTCAATTACTATATATAGTAATTTTGAGTCCACTGTGTCCAGAGATTTGACTCTTTCGGTTTTCTACACCTAGTATGATGAAAGCAATTTCTATGCGAAAAGGCATTCTATTTGCACTACTTTTCTTGACTCAAAATTATGCAAAACACGACAAATTTGGGATGAAGACAGGCTATTAAAGTACGAATTTCAATGTGTAGAATGCAAAGCGTTACCCTGTTCATAGTTGCTTATGAGATTCACCGTAATGCACATTTACTTGTATACTTACAAGCTAGTAGATAGCAAAGGCGTTATGGTGACACACTATTCGGCCCATGCTATGTATCATGCTTCTGAATTTGAGAACCCCAATTCTGCAGCCATTTGTCTAGGTCACCCCACATGGTGCCTTGATTATCATGTAAATGAATCTTCAGCTAAGTAGAAAAAGCATCGCTGATCTGAACACGGTCTCTATATATATATATGATATTCATCCTGAAAGATATGCATTACGCTGAACAACTATTAGAATATCATTCAAACAACCTGGATGTTGCAAATTCTTGGACGACGGTAGTTCAAACTTCCCCATGTTATGGTTTATACTTTGTGGGGAAAATTTGAACTAACGCTACTTTCGTATACCGATGAGGGGTCCCTGGTTTGCTTTGATGTAATACCATGAAATGACACATCTGCCAAGTCCACCATAATTCAACGTTAAAGAGCAGAGGGATTTATTATACATGATACAATGAAAGACGCATAAAAGAGGTAGGAAGTGTGTCATAATTAGAGAAATTAGTGGTAAAAAGAGGGACCAATATTTACACATGCACAAGAGACATTTTCATGAATTCAATGAAGGGTGGGATATTTTTTTTTTTTTCACAGATTATCCAAGCCAATAAGGATTCTAATGAAAACAGAAAACATATAAAGTTTAGTGCACAAGATTTTTCCCATTCGCAATAGATTTTGCTTACGTTATCATGTAAAAGATCCCCAACAAGGTCATCCATTGGTTTCTCCAAGAAATCATTTAGTAGCGCACTGGAATAAGTTTGCTGAGGAGGATGCAATTGAATGGCTGTGGGAGGTGTAGCAGGGCTTGCACTAGGGCTTGCTGTGTGAGGATGGTGTAGCTGAGAATGATGATAGTGGCAATGTTGATCTCCGTCGTCACTACTGCAGCTGCTACTGCTGTGATACCCGTTCGTGTGAGTCATTGTAGGCTGTTCCATGGAATGTGTTGGTGACATGATGGCTTCACACAAGTTATTCACTAGCTGGATGGTATCGCTGTCATTGGTGGGCGTGTTATGATACTAGAAACATCAAGTTAGCACTTGTATGTCATTATCTGAATGGACGAGTGTTTCTTACCAAAGACATCAAGTCAGAATTGCTGAGTAGAGATTGGTAATCTGGTTGTTGTTTTAGCAAGCTGCCTACCATATTTATTGGCTGTAATGATGATGATGATGATGGTGGTGGTGGTGGTGGTGGTGGTGGTGATACTGAAGGCTTTCTAGTGACCAAGCATACCATGTACAATTGATCCAAAGAGTTGGATACAAACAAATCGCCACCAAAACCTCCACCCAGGTAGAATCGACACTCAAACAACGATGCTGTTGATGATTTAAATTTAAGAGTTTCCTTGATAGTTTGGGATCCATTTGCAATGGATAAAAGTTGAGCAGCTGATGTCGTCAGGAACGTTTCAGAGCTCGCTGGTTTGAATGATATTGGTTGTGCTACTTGACGATGACAGTTGTCTAGAAGAATTCTGTGAAGACGCGATAGAGTTTCCGATGATTCAGGTTGTATGATATCGTAAAAGGAACAGTGGCCCATTTGTGTAGGATTTGTGCTGAGGAATTGCATCGATTCATCTGAAATGCGAGCACAGCATAGATCCATGGATAAAAACATCTGGATTAAACAGTTTGAGTATACTCATTATCCTATTATGCTAAAACTAGTAGAAACTTACCGTCATCATTTCTTTGGGTGATTTTGGCTCCTCCCTTGCCATTTCTCTGGATGCCGTCATTTTGAATGAACTGATGGGAGACGAAAACAAAGTAGGTGATGCATGCAGAGGTACGAATGGTGTTAGTGTAGATGGCAAAGAAGAGGATGCGATGGGTGCAGTAGATTGGTATGGTTTATTTACAGTCAAGGTGGTTGCGTGTTGCCATTTCTTGATGGACGTTAACTTTGGTCTTCCTCGCTTCTTATGTTTGATGTCAATGCAGCTGTCTGATTTACCTAGGGTGGAGCACCGTTTGCAAGGTCGTGACACTATTGCGTGTTGTTAGAATATATCACTTTGATCTCGGCAGGATTTTGCACTTACAATCACAAGCCAAGTGTGCTTTTTTGCAATTGATCTTCGTGGAAAAAGCAGATCAATACCAGAATTCCATGCGAATCAAGGGTCTCGAATACTTACACAAGCAGTTGGAACATGAGTTGTTTTGGTTGGTTTCTTTTTAGTGATGGATGGAGTTGAATCATGCTGTTGACTACTCATAACGAAGACGTAGAAATGTATTGAAACAAGAAGAAAAGAGAGGAAGCAAGCCAGTCAGCCTCATTTTTGGTAAATCATTATAAAACAACATCAGACATACCAAAAGGAGAAATAAATGCGAAAAAGGAAATCAATTTCACACACTATAACAGGCAAATTATCCGATTTCTAACTGTGAATTTATTTCTATTATTTGGTGATGTGGTATGAGGTACCCACACGAATTAATAATGTTCGCAAAGCCATTCGAATTTCCGGTAAGAGACTCTCCTGTCCTAGAAGTTCAACAGAAGGAAGATAGAAGCGAGGAACATGTTTCAAGAAATCCTCGTCTTGTAATTGTGCTAGACCATTCAAGATATTTACAACCACTGGTGTCCATGCGGCAATGTTCTTGGGTTTAGTTTCATGATCGAGCTCAGCGTACAGTGTGAAAATTTCATTGCAGAGTCTATGTATAGATCTTGTTAAATGCTTGTCCCCACAAAATACTCATAATATATACTTACGGTATTAAAATCTTTTCAATCTCTTCACGCTTATCATCTCTGTCGTTGATATTCTCCAAATTAGCATACATTCTCATCAACACCGACACGTAACATCCACCGCTTGATGTTTCTTGCTTTAGTAAATTAGGAAGTTGTTTCATGAACCCTGCAGGAACAACATGTCAATAGCCTGAATCAAGTTGTTCTTTACCTCAACCTACCAAATCTAAATAATGCCATTCTAAGATCATTATCGACGTTAAATTTCTTAGCAAAGTGGAATGAGCGACCGAGACAGCCCATCAAAGTCATCAGATGCATAGCTGGATACGCAGAATAAACATTATCTTTAGCCAACAAATCGTTCACTGTCTGGATCAGCATAAGCTGCAGGACACATTTGATGATCACTTGCTGGAAGTTTCTCTGGCGCTCTTCACTGACTTCAATGTCTAGAGAAGAGTCGTCTTGTTGCTGTGATGGCGACTGTTGCTGCTGATCATTCAGTGATTTGACCTTCTCCACTAAATCTGCTGTATCATCGAACAGCCCATTAGCTGTGGTGTTTTCAAACAATGCAATGAATGTCTCTGTCACTAGATCCCAGCAACTGTTGTCAAACTTTTCGACATTGGCTTCAATGTATTGATCAAGACATTCACAACCAATATGTGCTAGTGTGTCGTTATCTAAACAAAGGCGCAGTGAGTATACGCACAGCAGACAGTCAGGTCAGATGCGTTCTATATGTTACCTTGTGTGATGCACATGCTGAAGAGTCCCAATACATGGCGCATCATATCCTTCATATTATCAAAGTAGTAGGTATATAAATCAACGACATTGCGAAGTGCTTCAATCATGGTGGTAGATAACCACACGCTCAAGTCCTCTGGTGTCATCTTACGTCTATCTCCTCCGCTCTTGAGATCGTCAAACAAGGGGAATACGATTTGGCGAGACACCGTCGTCCAAAACTCAGGGGTAAATGACGAGCCATGTTTCTTCAATGTCTCAAACAGATAGACCAAAGCACGTTTACGCACTTCGACATCATCGCTTTGCATCACGACTTCCTTCAAGCCGTAAAGTACGGCGAACCAAAACTTGATCAAAAAGTCATCGCCAGAAGCTTGCATCGTGGAAGCGGTCAAGGCATGGGCGTCGTTGATCTCTAGCGGCGTGCTCTTGTTGGCAATTTCAATCATCTTGGGAATCGTGCCCTTGATCATGTCTAAAGCAGGTAAACTAATCTTTTGGAACTTTTGGTTTTTGGAGAACTCGACCAAACAAGAGATGTAGTCAGGGAAGGTACCATTAGCCACAATGTCGCCAAAGCGCTCATTGGTCACACTGCGAACAATGTCAAATGTCATATGAACGATGGATTCTGAGGATTCACAGGCACCGGTAGCAAACACAGACAGCATGGTCTTCCAGCCAGATCTCAAGTGGTGGGGTCTCGCTTGGATCATTTGCGACAAGCAACGCAACACCATGTCCTTGATAGCGACATCGGGGTTGTTGGCAAGCACTTCACGGAAGGGCATGAGAAAGTCCTTTTGGAACTTGAAATGAGGCAATTCTTCCTTTTCCAAAAACTTCATGGCCAATTGACGCAGTGAATCAAGAGCAAAGAAGGCAACGTTAAAGTTGGACTGACAGCCAACCTTGTTGTAATAGTCACCAAGGATAGCCCAGATATTAGACCATTCCATACGAATACGGTTCATGTTGTAGTAGGAGATCTCTACCAGTTTTTGCAGACTGTACATACGGGGATGTTCCATATAAGCAGAGTTGACAATTTCCTCCCAAGACGTCTCACAGAGTGCGCGCACAAAGTCGACGATGGCTTCACCGTTCAGGTTGACTGTTGATGTAAATAATCTGTCCACAGCAAGCACCAGGGATTGCGATGAACTAGCAGATGTCACTTCTTCCGTCAGTGACAATTGCGTGTTGGAGCGAGACGAGTTTGAGCTACGGCCACGACCACCCATGGTAGATGTGCGACGACCCATTTCCATGGAAGCCTTGACAGGTCGCTTGGTGGGTTCAGCCATGGGACCAACACCAGCATCCATGCCGCTGGTGATCAGCTGGAAACGCTCCAGTTGACTTACAGTAGACAAAATCTCCTTCCAAGATCCCTTGAGATAGTTGCCATCCACTGCGGCTACTTCGAGTAATGTCTTGATGGCCTCAACGTTCTTGGGTTTCATCTCGTTCAGGTTGGTCAAGAAGGTAAACTTAGTCAGCGTCGTCACAAAGGCATCACGTTGAAGATCAACATCCTCAGACTGAACAGTGTGGAACAGACAAATGATACGAATAGCGTTCTTGAAGCCCTCCAGACACAGGCTGACAGTAGCCAAATCATCCGACTCTTGAAGCGGGCCCGAGATACCAGCCAAAAATGCCATCCAAGCGACTTCAAACATGGGGCGCACATGCTCAACATGGGACGCACTGTAAAAGGTGATGGTGTCGTTTTCGCCAGCACGTCTGCGACTCGCCAACATACTGCGGAACATAGCCTCTGTCTTAGACCCCATCTCCTCGGTAGCAGCTTGATATGCCTCACGACGCACATCACGAGCAATACCAGCATTGACTAGAGCGTTTTGGATGCCAACCATGCCCAACACACCGGCAGCACCAGGAGTAGCCACCAGCGCAGCTTCATTAGCGGCTTCTACTTCGTCCTTCATCTTGATTTCATTATTTTGGATTTCCTCGAAATTCGCCTCCAAGATCTCGCGAGGAATATCGTTACCATCATCGATACCGCGGTTGTTCTTGATGAAATCCTCCAGTGTCATTCTGCGCTTGACGTGAGGGCTGTGGAGATCAGTGTTCAGCATGATGACAGAGTAAGCAAGCACGTAAGCAGTTTCAGCATTAGCAAAGGCACCAGGGTTACCATGCACATAACGTTCAGCGAATTTAAGCATGAAACGATCAATCTTTTGACCTTCACCAGGCAAACGGAAAGCTTGAAGGAAGAAACGCAATGCTTCGGTAAATTTCATGTTGGTAAAGTCCATCTCATCCACAAAGGCATGCATAATGGCAATGTTCTCAGCGTCACCTTCACCCAGATATTCACCAATCTGTGTCTTGTTCAAACCCTCTGTGGTCAACAAGAAGGATGCAACACTGCGAGGATCTTGCAGGTTCAAGAAACCGTTGCTTGATAGTACGGCGAGACCCTTCTTGGGCTTCCAGTTGAACTGACGCACACCCTCTTGCAGCAGCTGTTTGCGATGCTTCAGGTTTTCAAACTCTTCGGGGTCATCCAAGCGAGAACTGCTGCCTGTGTTGAGCGCAGTGTATGAGCCGTTAGTAGCAGGCGATGCGAGACGAGAGCTAGAGACGTTGGCATGGTGTGTGATGGAATGATCTTCGCTGGCACGAGGCGTATCGTCGTCTTTCTTGGCAGTGTCGCCAGCAGTGATGCTGACAGAGTTATTGGAGTACCAGCCTACCAGGGAGCGCAAGACAGCTACTAGACATTCGAGCGATTTGAAGCGAATAGCGGATTCAGGCATGGCAGTTTGAGCATTTTGCTTATCACTGTTCAAGATGGTGGCTGTTGTTAAGGGAGGAGGAATCACAACAGAGGAATGTGCATGGCCACCGGCATGGACACTGGAGATGGGATCTGGATGGTTGTCATAGTCCTTACCGTTGGTAGGCTGATTGTGAGATGTTGTGATCTTTGACAAGACATTGACTAGACGTTCATAAATGTTGTCCAGAGCCTCACGGTCACAATCATAGTTCAAGTAGACATCCACCAACGTCTGAGGATCCTCGCAAATTCTCAGCACACCTTTCAACAGGGAGAACTTTTGCTGGTTAGAGGCATTACGCATTTCCAAGATACGCAACACGATTTCCTTCAAGAAAATCTCGATTTCATTCTTAAGGTAGACACGTAAACCCTGCACCACTCGCCACAAGATTTCATGCGTGATATCAAAGACTTGAGGTACCACAGAAAATGCGTTGCGGCCTAAACTGGGACACAGATACTGCTTGACTTCCAGGATAAAGGGGTTGGCTCGGTGGCCGCTGGGATCGCTGACAGCAGCAGAGAAATAAACGTCTTCAGAGGTGAATACATCCATGTGAGACATCATGATGGTCAGGATCAAGTGCAAAGAGAGTAGCTTGGATCGCATCGAGTAAGATCTCATATCGTTGCCCCTATCGTTTTCTGAATCAGTTACGCTTGTTTCCAGGATACCACAGATACGTTACCATTCAGATTGGATCGACTTTTTAGAAAGCTTACAAAGAGCCCTGAATACCAGAATAGCATCCTTGATGTAAAGATCCGCATCAGTTTCTGACTCTCCGTTTTGAATGCCCTCATTTTCAAATGAACCTCGTCCTTCGGATGCTCCACTGGTAGTATAGCTGTTAGCTCATATTGGTCATGACATACACTATATATTTATATCTTACGTTGTGTCGTAGGTAGGCACAGTGGTGAGATGGTTGTTGTTGGTGGCCGATGCAGTAGATGCTGCATTGTTTTCCTCTCGAAACACATTGGCGGTATCATTCAAAAAATCCTCATAATTGTCTTTGGATTTACCGCTGGGCAACTTGTGATCCATTTCAGTACGAGCCATGTTTGCCTCGACAATAATTTGCTGTTGATAAGCGGCTGAATCTTCGTCTGTTTCATGAGGAGCATTTGTCACTGCATTATTCGCCTGTGCTGCTGCTGTTGCCTCTGCTTCATCTGCCTCTGCTTTCAACTCATTATCGTCTTTTGCTGCTGGCTCTTCTTCCTGATGTGCTTGTGCTGCTGACTTGCTGCTGTGAATAGACTCATTGTCTTTTTCCTTTGGTGTCACAAGAACATTGGGATTGGATTTTACTCTTCGAAAGATGTGGTCCACCATCTGCGTCATGGTAATTTGAGCTACATTCTGATTGTCGTTGTTTCGAGAGAGCAGAAAGATATTGTAAGTTGTGCGCACTGCTTTTAATAAGGCTGATAAATGAAGTGGATTGCTGGTCGAGTAAACTGCGTCCAACAGTGCCTGAAAACGATCGCTTAGCCCTTGTACCAACACATGTCTGATGGCCTACCTTGATGATTTGCAGCTGCACCTTTTTATCAGTTTCCTCGCCAATGAAGCAATCACATATACCATCCACTACTTTTTCCATGACTTGAGTCTGTGCTACTTCATCTTCCATATCAGCGACATAGTTGTAGGTGATGAATTTGCCAAGACAGTCCAGAGATATTGTCATTAAATTAGCTGAGCGAGTATCAATCGCTGTCTGCAGTGCAGTGAGAATGACAGATGAGCTGTGGGATGATTAGTCTCCTATGCAAGTAGTTCTCATATAGTGCTTTTACCGAGTTTGTCCTTGTGGTGGGGGCTCATTGTCTTTGAGCATTTCTACACAACAGAAGATGAGTATCATGACAGCAACATATACAAGCATCCACCCTTACTGAGTGCTGTATCCACAGCTTCTTTCAAAGCCTTGTTTCGCCTTGCCTCTCTTGCAGCTGCTACTTTTTCGAGCGCATTAATGACAAACACATTGCTTGATGCTACTGAGGATGCCACTGTCTGCTGAGACATTCTGGGCGAGGATATTTGTGAGGAGGTTGCTGTTGTGGCCATGATGATAGAACCTGAATTTCCGCGTGTTTATATCTGGCTATCCTGTTATTAATGGCGATCATCGTTGAATGATAATGTAGATACTGTACCCGAGGTTCTGTTATGAATCAAGTCTTTCTTGCAAGAAAAGAGGTTGTATAAAGAAACAAGGAAAAGGGGAAAAGAGAAGAGAAAAAGATGTGCAGATTGAATGGATTGTTTGGCTGGTGGATTTTAAAGCTCAATGGGAATGTCTCAGTTACACGCACGCACACAACCCCCCTCCATTATGTTGTATATGGCTAAACCATTGTGTTTATTGCGATATTTAATTAATTACATTGTCTATGCCCTTCTTCAAGACTCTCAAAAACTTGTTCTGATGTGTCACTTTTGGTAAAAGCTCGTCTCTGAGCCATTTCAGTTCGTCTGTGGACTTTTCTTGCTTTGCCAATTTCACAACGCCTTGCAATGTTTGACGGGAGATGCCAATGTCATCTGTCTGGTTGCTCAATGTGCGCAAGACATCAAACACGAGCGAAACATCCTGCGAGTCTAGTAGGGAGCAGATGTACACATCGATGAACTTCATGTCCAATTGGTTGTAGGGTGCAGTGGGGAAAGGGACGACAGGCGTAGACTCTCGAATGGGAACAGGAATCTTGCCTTCATTCTCGAATCGTGTCATGGTATACTTATTGAACAATCGTCGGATACCCTGCTCGTCTCCTTCAATAGCTAGTTTGGAGAGGACGGCCTCCCATACGCCTTGGCTGTATTTGATGTCCTTCTTGTCCATTTCCTTTAATAGCTGATTAGCATCTAATCCAGGCACCGTGATGGCTGTTCTCAGCATAGGAAGGTAAAAGTCGGGCTCATCTGTGTAGGGCCATTTGGCAAGGTCGTCTGCATGTGTCTTGTTGCGATGGACGAGTTCTGTGGTATGGCGCATTTCTTTGATGATATCCTTGGCTTCAAATGGCATCTGAGCTGTTGCGCAACAATCAAGCATAGCTGTATATGTGTCCCAATCCATGCGTTCCTTGGGGATCTCTCTATTCATTTCGTTTCTGACCACCACAATAGCACGTTTAGCTTGTGTGGGGTTTAAAGAAGCCAGGGCATAAGTGAGTCTGTACATGCCAACATCACGACGAAGACCGTGCACCTTGAGTGATCTCCAACGTGTGCGCAAGGCCTTGTACTGTCCTCCACTGGCCAAGCATGTCATCAAAGTGGTAAAGGTAAAGCGGTCGTGAGGCAACTTGGCTTCCAACATGATCTTTTCAATCTCGAATAAACGAGGATCCAGCTTGAATCGGTTATGGGTGTATGGACGAGCAGGTAGCAGTGAATTCAGTCTGAAGTTGTCAAAATAGTAGTGGCCATCGCGGTGAGGAAGACAGGCACGGAAGAGTGAGTGGAATGTAGGATGGTTCAATGTGTCGAGTCCAGCTACTTGCATTTTGGATACCATCTCCAGGGCCTTGTCGAGTCGGATATTGCGGTGATGATCGTTGTACTGCTGAGATGTGGCATAGCCCACCAACATGATGCGATGACTGGCATCGTTGGGTGTGATGTAGTTTGCAGGCATGTACGATTCAAAGATCTCTTCAGCCTTCTCCATGGGGAACCCAACAGGGTCAATTCTGTTGGCCGTGGTCAGGTATTCCAAGACGACGTTGCAATCAGTGATGTCTACAGGTGTGTTGTTGCTGGTAGCAAACATGTCCTTGGTCAAATTCTCCCAAGATGAGTGCAATTGATCCAATTGAGTCGAGTTGGTAGGCTTCAAGCTCAATCCACGAGCACCACGCACTTCAGCCAATTTTTCACACATCTTTTGCAAGGCGATTTTGTGTGCAATCAGTAGCATGGTTTTGTCGCACTTTTGATCGGGATAGAGCTTGTTGCACATATCTGTGTATTGAGTAGCATGCTCAATGTCTCCCTTGAATCCATAACAACGAATCAGCTTCAACAGCGTGCGGCGAGACAGGCTGTCTTTTTGTTGCAGCATGTCGACTAACTTCTCCACCTTGTCGTTCGAGTTGGTAGCTGCGTAAGATAACAGGGCAGTGGAATAAAAAGATGCCTGGTCCACTTGATTACCTTCGTTCTTTTTGATACATGCGGAAATAGCGTCTTTCTTGTTCATGATACCGTAAGCCTACAGAAGACTAGTTAGCGTTGGAAATAACTCCCTCTAATTTTTGACATTTACTCTCATCAGCAATTCCCAAGCTGTTTGATCGTTCATGGTTGTCAAATCGAAAATTTCTGTGAATCTATCCAAAAGAGCACGCAAATCCTCTGATCTATAGGTGGACCCAAATCGAAAGCCAAGCTTCAACACACTCTTCCAAATGTTGATGTCTTCTAAAACATCTAAAGGCAATTTGGAGTCGGGCGAGTAAAACCAATGAGCCACTGTGGCACATTCGTGAACGTCAAAAGGTGAGTCTCGCAACATGTCGACGAGAGCGAGGTAGAGTTTGGGTGTAGCTAATCCCTTTTCTTGAGCGTGCTGGACAGCTTTAATGGCTCCCTTCAAATTGCCGGTGCTCTTGCATTCTTCCAGGGTGTCAAACAGCGATTGTGGCGTGGCGGTTGATTTGCTGCTGCTGGAATGCATCGCATGATCTTTGGTGGTTTCGACGTCTATCGTGTGTGCTCTTTTGGCTGTTTGAATGGCAAATGTTCGAGTGGCTAAAGCTAGATTGGGACATGTCAAAATGAAAATGTCGATTGAGACTGATTTATAGCCATTTTACCTGGAGCAACAGCAGCTTTTTTGAGAGAGGTTTGACTCGCTTGAATGATCGATCTGAAACTGGCATTTCTTGTAGGTTGAGCAAGTACTTTTCCAAGTCTTGGTAACATTGTCACAATAAATTAATGGATTGAACAAGAGACAAGAGAAAAGGAGAGGGGGTAGATTTTTTTCTATAAGTTTGAATTGGGAATAAGAAAACTGACCTGGGGTTTCTTTTTTTACTACTCCTCTTATTTTGAAGCATTTCCATTCGAGGTCTATAGCCAAACTTTGAAGTTCCGTGCACTTGATGGTATGGGTGACGTATCATGGCATGTCAAATGCCAACTAGAGATAGTACTGTACGGTCTGATTGTTGTGCAGAGAAAAAGGCGTGTGTATCATCTGCTTTGAGGGCGCAAATAACCGAGATTAATGTTTATACGGCAGCCGATTGAGTGCTAATCATTGTGTTAAAATCTTATCTGATGGAATTAGGTGGACCCCATCTCAATTGAATGGATGAGACGTTATTATCAGATTAACAGTGCCGCTAGATTGAACAAAATATATAATGTTTTGCAATCGCTACTTGCATACCGTCCAGAGATTGAGGAAAGTAGGTGCTAATTCAGGGCAGTTGTTTGACATGACTCTGGGCAATCTAAATTGGTGGAAATCTGGAGAAAGCAATGCCAGAACTTGTATAACAAACAGATCCTTGATGTAGATTCAATGCTTGGGATTGCAATCTCGTCTCTCCCATGAAATTAAGATGTATAAAGCTTTGTAACGCTTGTGTTCTGCCGGCAGTTGATTTATTCAAGCTTTGCCAAAGCCCTATTCAAATAATAAAGTGCACATCAAACTAATGGCTCTGGATTAGATGCTTCTGCAATGCACCACGTTTATTTTAATGAGAACAGCTTATATATGGACACACGATATACTTGCAACACCATTTGTCACCTAAAAGTATGCAAATTACAGCGAAATTTCCATGTATTTGAGCAGTGTTTTCTCGAGTTAGAAGCCATTTCAGGCCTCCAGAATAGCACCAAACAATTGCTCTCATCCGGCAGTTACTTCCTGGCACCTTTGCTCAATTTTTTGAGGACCAAAAAAAACATGGCAAAAAAATCAACCAAAAAGCATGAGGTACCCCTCATGGTTTTCACCGAAAATCAAACGATCGCATTTTTGACCTTGATAATGAACACTTTTACTATGGTATATATTGATTCTAAACGTTTCTATCGATTCAAAGCAACCCCTGGCACTTTGTTTATGGAACCCTTATATGTAAATTTTTGACATTTTGGCCAAAAACCTAATTTCACATTTTCCAATATTGCTCAATAAATTCAGTTAGAACATCTATTTTATTTGGCACCACTGGATGCGCCTTGAAAAGTACTTCAAGAATGCATTAGGAGGTAGTTTTTTTTTTTTTGTAGGGGAGTCGAGCTCCAGGTTTTATTTAAAGTCCTTTATGCATTAGGAGGTAGAGGAAGATCATGACAATTTATATAGTCGAATCTCGCGAAACATTTCAATCAAGTCGAAAATAGACAAAATCTGCCCAATCTTGAAAATTACTTTCATCTGGGTTTAAAATTATTTTGGCTCGGCTGCTGACCAAGATGCCTTTTTGATGAAGACAGCCTCGGTTTGTGAAGCTAATACAAAGGGAATTGCCTATCAAATAAGTTCTATCATCGCTTGGTCAGATATCTTATTAAGCTTCAAAGACGCCTATCCATTTATTTGTTTTTTTTTTACAAAGTTTTAAATATAATTGCAAGCAGGCTTTGTAACTTCAGCAACTTCAGAAGTGAATTCGACTTGGTTCTCCTTAAAGTTACGTTTAACAGAGTCGTAGTATTCATCATTCAACAAAACTTCAACACCTGTAGCAGCCAGACATTTAGAAGCGGTAATGGTATCTTTGTGAGCAGCCAAAGTTTTAGCAGCAGCAGTGAATTCAATAGTATGGTTGGCAGCAGTAGTGTGAATGCCGTAGAAGGGTTGAATGGAGGGCATTTCGTAACTGATGTTACCAAAGTCAGTAGAACCGCCACCAGCACGAATTTGATCTTCCTCAGATGGGAATTCAATGCCGTATTTCTCCATGTGTTGAGCATAAAAGTTAGCAAGGGGTCTATTTTGAATGACATCCTTGGTAACGCCAATTTCACGCCATGTATACTTGACTTTACAACCTGTAGCTAATGCAGCAGCTTCAAAGATGTTTTCAAGCTTCTTTTGCAAACGACCAATTTGATTTGCTCTAGTAGTACGAACAAAGAAGAAGGCAGAGGTGTGTTCAGGAATGACATTGGGCTAAAACAACACTGCTATCAGTAAGCCGTAACTCATGCTTACATACACGCACGCAAACAACTTACAGCTTGGCCGCCATCAGTGACAATACCATGAACTCTGTCAGTAGGCATAAGCTGTTGACGCATCATACTGATACCGTTCCAGACTTGAACAAGGGCATCCAATGCGTTGACACCAACCCAAGGGGCAGCTATTTCAGAATAAATTAATATCTTGTCGATTAGTGCTTTATGTGGCAGTACCTGAAGCATGGCTAGGCTTGCCAAAGAACTCGACGCGGACATCATGGATAGCAATGAAAGCGGCATATTGATGATTGTAGGCACTGCATTGCATTTGAAGATTAGAATATAGATTGGCTGGAGATGCAAGATCACTTACGCAGGGTGCAACATCAAGCAGACATCGACATTCTCTTGGAAAGCACCTTTGCTAACAAGGACGATCTTACCGATAGATAATTCTACAAGAGCCACAACGTCAACATAAGCAACAAGATGTCCATACATGTAAATATCTACCTTCTGCGGGGGTGCCAAAGAGAATGACTTTACCAGAAGCCTTTCCGCTCTCCAAAGCAGCTTTGATACCAATAGCAGTAGCAAGACCACTGATAGCAATCAAGTTGTGGCCACAGCCTTGACCAAGACTACAATAGCATTTGTCAGACATCGAGTTCAACCTATTGCCTTTTGCAAATGCTTACCCGGGAAGGCCATCATATTCTGAGCAGACACCGATTCTTCTACCAGAACCACGGCTATATTCAGCAGTAAATGCAGTTTCCATACCATAAGCATGGCGGGTCACCTTGAAGCCCTTCTTCTCGAGATATGCAGTTAAAACATTGTGAGCATGAACTTCCTTCATACCAGTTTCCACATTTTCGTGAAGCTATGTCATAAACAGTTAGAGAAATTGTATTGATCTGGCGAGGTCTATATAGAGAATTACATCCAAACTAATTTCACGAAGTTCATCGCTAATAGAGTTGATTTCTTTGTTGATAATGGCTTCGATTTCACTATCACACTTGACATCGAGCTTTTGCATGGACTGTATATCATGTCAATACCCAGTGCTATTCTGTGCACCTGATCCTTACTTTAACAATGTCCTCATAAGGTGGTAAATCTTCCATGGGGTCCACAGCCGAGTAGATAAACTTTTCATTTGAACTTGAAGCTGAAGGAGATGAAGCTGAACGAGTGAATCGGGAGAAAATGTTGGAGAGACAGCCTGATTGCTGCTGCTCAGTATCTTTGAGTTGAATTGGTGCCATTTTCTTATGCAATATGAGATGAAATGAGAGAAAGATGAAGATAGTTGGGAAAAGAATTACCAACTTATTTTATTTAGTGGGAAATTTTCGACAGAGACGCTGTGTCACAGCAAAGTAGATAAAGTGAACCGAGTGCTCGGGGGAAATATTTACATGACATGAGTAAGGGTTCTGTATCGTTTCTGCGTAGAGTGGCTTTTGGTGGACCCATTCTGATTAGTGTGTACTGCTCTCTTACCAAGCCGATGCTTTTCTGAGTGCTCTTGCCCTTGGGCATCCTCTTCATCATCATCAATGTCAATGATGAGTCTATCATTCAAATTATCCATCAGAAGACTGGCTTCTCCGAAGAGTTCGTTTTCCGATATGAGAGTATCACCAAAAATAAATAATTTATCTTCGCCAGGATGTTGATTCAAGGCTTCTTTGGTGGTGTAATCTATGCGCAATTCCTATGTAGGATATGGGTTTTAGCCATTGTGATCAATCTCTTTTATCTTATCGGGATGTGTACCTCAAAACTCTTGATATGCACAAGGCAAATTGGGCAATGCCAGAGTTTAATGTCAGCATGATGATTGAAGAACGATGCTGCATCAAAGCAGGTACGGTGCCGACAATGTAGACTCTTGACAGGATGCTGTATTCGATTTCCTGTAGTCAAATCAATCAAAGAAACCGTCTCGTTCAGTTCGCCTTCTTCGTACTCTTCTTCGCTAGAGGTTTCAGTTGAAATGGAGAGCGTTGTGTTACTTTGACATGTCATGAATATCGTTTCTGCATTTTTCAATTTAGCTTCCGGCCCTTCTGCTTGATGATATTGCTTCAACAAATGAATGGTTATCTGCTGTGTATCCAGTGGAAATGTGCTCTTTCGAATAGATCGACTGATACATTCAGTTGTTGCTTGCAAATAGAGCTCACACACCATCTAGTTGAAATCAAAGAAAACTCCCACGCATCAGTCATCTTAAAATGTATATGATAATGCCTATCATCATTATCTACGATTTACCTCGTTCGTGGACTTTTTCACAACTGCAGATATTGAAATATGACTAATGTTGAACTCTTCGTTATCGTGTAACTCAACTTGTAATTTGATCATCCTTTCAGGCTTTGGCTGATATTCGTTTAAAGTTGACGCAGAATCTTCAATGGGTTTTGTTTGATCCATTACTGACGTCGGAGTAGTGGTTGCGATGGACACGGCCATTTTCGATGCTTTCGTCTTTGTGCTACTATGATGTGAAGCGATATGCGGTGATGGTCTAGTCGAAGGCATACTGTTATCATGAGATTGTGTATTGCCATTCACTGTCTTTCTAGGTTGCCGTGCTAAGCATTTCTTCAGCTCGTCCGTTATATCAATGTGCATGAATCCCTCGGAGACGACCCTCTAATTATTTCAGATTGATCAATACATATATTTCCAGCAGCCTGACAACACATTGCGACATCTACCTCCTTGTGCTCCGTCCATATCTCTTCAGAGTTCAGTTGCAGTGATTTGCATTGAGGTTTAATTAAAGTTCGAGTAGAGTTCCAAAAGCACAGATGATATTCAATACCGTCGGTAGACTTATTGTTGTGCGCGATTCGTATTCGCTCCAGCGACTTTTTGATCGAGGGAACCGACAGATCAACAGACGGTATGCTCTTGTAATCCTCCTGCCAATTCACATCGACCCTGTGTATTTCATCCAATCTATCGTAAACCTCCGTTGTCGGCACATAATCATATGCAAGCGGGCTGATCTGACCCACTTCCTTTTCTCGACTAAATGACACCATGCATGAGCCAATTGTTTTGATAGTTAGTGGCAACATCTTACCACTCTCTATAATCTGTATAGGCTAAATTCTTGGCTTTGCATGCAGGGTAGCCGGGATAGATTGTATTCAATAAATATTCAGCCAGCTGATGAGTTTGTAATGCTTCAATGGCAGGTTCTTTGTCATGCGTCAATTGATGATTGAACAGATAGCTGTAGATTGCTTCCAACTTTCGTTTTCGAAGCCGAAATAAGTTGATTGGAATCTAGTCATCCGTGGTTATGTTGAGATGTCAATCTGATAACGTCACTTGACACTTACAAGCCCTTGATCGGCAACATTTTTCATTAGCTTATTCCCCGCCAAATGTCCCAATTCCTGAGATTGCTCTACAGTCAAGATGTTGGGTTTTTGCCGCAGCTTTCGTCGTTTGTATAACGCAAAGTTCATTGAAGAAGAAGGTGAAAATGAAAAAAAAAAGATAGTAATTGGTTTAATTGGTATGAATCAGATTTTTCTTACGGAAAAAAATTGATCTCTAATCAAATCACTTCATTTTGTCTTAAAATAGGGTGACTGTTTGGATTTGAATATATGACAAAACAATGGGAATCGGTTATAAGTTTAAACATCCAAATTACATCTTCAGTGCTTGGGAACTATATGATCCTTCTTAGTGATAATAGGAGATGTGGTATATGCAATGTCGGATCTCAATTGCTAGTTACCAACAAACTACCATGGGATGAATAGATTGAGTAGCGAAGCCATTTTCAACACAATTCCCTAAAGAGCATTTGGATGGGTCATCATTCCTCGGTAAAAGTTGTATATTGAATGAGCTGTGCATTATATGATCATGATTCATGCAGATCAAACTCTCGTTGCGTACCTTGATGTTACCTGTTATTGAACTCCGTTTTGATGTTTCGTAGCACTGAACTAGGTATCAATATCGACAATTTTAGCGTAAAGATTCATAAACCATGAATCAAAAAGCTATAAGTTATATATACATAGTATAGTCTCGTAAATCTTGGCACATCACGTACATCTAAGCTGAAGATGGCTGAAATTTCTTTGTCCTGAATGCACAAGTTTGTTTCGATTGGGATTAAGTACCAGCAAGCGGCCTGCCACAACGATTACCGCTTCCGCTCAACAAGCTGCGATAAAAAACCACCAATATAACGTACACATCGTCTTTGATGTGGCCTCAAACTGGTACAAATAGATTAAGAAAACATCAAGGCATTTTTTGATACCATACTTTGATTGATTACTTGAGTTTTTGGTACCTTTTGAGAAAGAGATGAGATGCCGACCTTGTTTTCACGCGTTTTCTGTAAACTCGACTTTCAAAATCGGAGCGAGCGCTCTTTAGACATGCTATAGAGACACAACTACCATCATTTGATAGCCAAGAAGCAAGACACTTTAAACTAATATAAGACCAAAAATCAAAAGTGCATATGCCATGATCAGCAGAGGCTTGAATGTATACTTTTGGGTCAGAAATTTTTTTTTAATGAGTTGCTGGGCCTGAACCCGTGTCTGTGCTCTATTACGCTCACTGCCCTGACAGCAGAAATGAACTCTTTAGGTATTCAAAGGGCTTGCAACAATACTGAGCCAAATAAAACGGACTCTTGCATTTGCGGGATGCTACACGACAAATAATGACTGAATTTAGTGATATTCGGCAATGATTGCTTGATGTACATTGTCTTTTTGGTTTAATATTCCAATCGTGGAAGTTGAGGTAGGCAGATTACTTTGTGTCTCTGCCTATTGATCCTCTGGAAGTAATGTTTGTTTCTGTTTACATTTCAAACATGCCACTACTACTCTTGTTATGACACATAATATGAAAATAAGTTGTATGTCAGATCTGAACTGAATCCTGTGTCTGTTGACCATTTGAGATCATCGTTCAAATGAAGCAATTTCGATCGGTTAAAGCTAAGCAATTGCATAATAACAAATCAGGCTAAACATTGCGCACTAGTCTCAAAAAGCTAAATTATTTGCAGCAATGAGAGCCGCCATTGAACTGACTAATTGCTGGCCAGATTGCTAAACCACTCAGGAAAAACTAAATTAAACTACAGGGTTACACTGGGTCCCTTGCTAGAAATGTGAATGGAAGAGTTTTCCGGGGTGAATTAAGTTTTTTTTTTACATCCCAATTTGAAACTTTTATCATCCTAGTGATTGGTCAAACCTGTCATGACCAAGATGTTATATAAACGTGAATAAATTTTCCATACAAAAGTACTCATCATCTTTTTTCCTCTTGTTCGAATTATCAACCAACAAGATACCATGAAATTCGTTAAGACCGTACATACCTTTGACTACGAATGGAGTTTGGTGTCTGCCGCTCAATGGCAGAAATACCCCAACGATCACTGTCCTCATGTCCAACATGTCGATGTCTTGGATAGAAGAGTAGACCCTGAAACTGGCATTCTCACAACTGAAAGACTCATTACGGTCAAACAAAACGTACCCAGACTTCTTTTAAAGGTAAAGTGTTCTTGTGAGATCGCATGGCTTGTGGTTTGTGTTGCTAATGCCACTTGATTCTAGATTATGGGAGCTGATGAGACTCAATACGTAAGAGAAATCTCAACCATTGATCCTAAAGCAAAGACTTTCACCTTGACTAGTCAGAACCTCTCTTTATGCAACATTATGAAGTGTAATGAGGAGATCTCTTATACCGTATCACCCGAGAATCCTGAAAAGTAAGTGACATTTTACAGGAACCGCAGTAAGCAGCGTCATTGACCGTTTCCGCTCCTTAGAACACAGTTCACACAGCAAGCTACCATGTCTGTAGGAAGTTTCCTTTCTCGCTGGGAAAGTACTATTGAGGACTTTTCCATCAAGAGGTTTCAGCAAAATGCTCAAGTTGGTAGGGAGGGATTTCTGAATGTGCTGGAAAGGTTCGTTGTGATGGCTGAGGCTGCCAAACAGGGACCCAGTGCTACCAATCCAGCACCAGCCAACTAATAGAAAATCCATGTTTCAGCAACTATTGTTTGATTACCCCGCCATATTCGCAATCCATTGATTGAATTCGAGAGGAGAAAAGCTCCTTCTTTTATTTATTTGTACAGTCTTGTCATGTTTCCTTCCAAAATTATATTATTACAATTAATCGCTTGAATAAAAATTGAATAGAAAATCAAATTCAGGTCCATTTGTCGAGATTGGATGCATTAAGATGATAGTATATACAATGTATATCATTTCGCTTCTAGCTGGGATCAAACGATATGCTTTAGTAAATGTTATCCTACAATGTAGTTAGTTCTTGAGCATTTCAAGATGGAGTGCAGCACACAATACTTGAATACAATTGGGGTGTCCGCGAGTAAATTATAGTTGTCTCGTGCAGTGCATACTACTATAAAGTGTCATTCTGAGGCTATAGAATGCAGCTTTTATAGGCAAATATTGCCAACGGTATGACATTCGCTTATTTCTTGACATTGCCCCCATCCCTCAGTCCACAATCTCAATAAATTTATATTCCACAGACACTTTTACAACCCTAATATGGAAACAGAGTTGCCAGACATCTGTCAGGCATGATTCATATATGATTAGAGAGTTAAAATAAATTACTATCAATCAACAATCTAGTTTCTTCTAACATTTTAGCTATTATTAATTTTGCAATATCAGCGAATGGCTCGCGGCAGCGCGAGCTACCTGAACATAGGTGATGAGTTTCCTGACCTACTCTTCGCTTTGGTGGAAACCAACCGAAGAATCAAAAAGCTCACCGTAATCTAATGAATCTATGGTTCCTGTTAGACACTTTCAAAGCCTCAAAAAAGAAAGAAGTTGATCTAACAAGTATTTTGGTGGACCGGCGTTATTAAATGTAGAATGCAATGAGATTATCGTGGCTAATTAAAGTGCTATGACTTGCCACCTACTTTCCATACACTTCAAAAAGCATCTATTATTACTACATTGCCTTCTTGTTGAAAAGGTCATTGAGTTCTCCAGCCAGCCCCACCGGCCAGCCAAAATTAATTCAAACCCAGAGACTCATAGTTTGTTCCAGATTGGCCAAATTTTGATGCTCTTCGATTCAATTAAACTATTTTACCAGATTCGACTAAGTAAAATATGATAATCCTCCAATGCTTCTTTAAGCTTTCTTGGAATGCTTTTCAAGGCGCATCCAACGGTCCCAAGTAAGATAGATGTTTTGAACAAAATTATTGAGGAATTTATGGAAATGTGAAATGAGGTTTTTGGTGAAAATGTCGAGATTTTGAATATGAAAGTCTCATAAATAAAGTTTCAGGAGTTGCTTTAGATGGATACAAACATTTTGAATTAATATATGCCATAGTAAAAGTCTTCATTATCAAGATCAAAAACGCGATCGTTTGGTTTTCAGTGAAAACCATGAGGGGTACCTCATGCTTTTTGGTCGATTTTTGGCCACGTTTTTTTTTTGGCCCAAAAATTTGGGCAATAGTGTCAGCAAGTAGCTACCAGATGAAAGCAATTGTCTGGTACTGTTCTGACGGTCTAAAACGGCTTCTAACACAAGAAAACGCAGCTCAAATGCGCCCAAATTTTGCTGTATCAGGAACACTAAGGACTCAAAAGGGGAAATACCAGTATGCTGCTTGCCTGTATATGAAGTAGCTACGTTTGTATGGATGTAGAGCATCACATAAGAATCAGATCCACAGATAACATAAAGGGTTTTCATGTGTAAGTGGAGGGTCAAAATGAAAGTAGTAGCAGTATTTTGATAAGATACCCAAGGGCAATCGATAGCGCGAGCTGTCGCTACGCAGGATGGTTCTCACCGAAGTGAAGCGAAGATAGAGAGCCATCCGAAGTGTAAACACTCGTATAGTAATAAAAAGGATTTCTACAGACACTTGAAAAGGGACATATAGAAATGACTAGACACTAAAACCAAAGAAGCTTTATTGAAAGATACTTTGAGATCCTTTATATACGAATTATAATTGTTCAACAAGCCAACCGTTCTTTAGCAATTAAGGACCAGTAGAATAAAATTCCTACAATATTTATATAATAACGTAGTACTCTTCAGGAAGCATCTGGTTGATTGGCCGATTGAGGTTGGTGTTCTGGCAATCACACCGTCGCATAGCAATTGACCATAACAAGGTAGAACCGTATGAATATTCCCAGGCTTCTACAGCTCCACCTTTGTAGTTCCTTCCATCATTAGGAATGAATAACAATAAATGTCTGGATCCGATCATAGCCAAATTGCCTGGAACTCATCTAGTCCGACAGGCTCAAAAAACATAATGCATGAATTAGCTTTACCAAAATCAATATGCCTCCTACTCGAATTAGAAATTGCATAGGCTGCAGAACTGCCCTTCCAGAAGACTTCAACTACTGAAGATGTGATTCATGTCGCGTAAATAAACGCTATAAAGCAAAAACATTACCAATTTGGCAGCTTTCAAGCCTTCATATCTTGCCATACAGACTTTTCTGAGCCTTGGGAATGACGCCAAACAATTGTACTTGAGTAGTAGAAACAACTTGACACTATTGCCCAAATTTTTGGGCCAAACAAAACATGGCCAAAAATCGACCAAAAAGCATGAGGTACCCCTCATGGTTTTCACTGAAAACCAAACGATCGCATTTTTGATCTTGATAATGAAGACTTTTACTATGGCATATATTAATTCAAAATGTTTGTATCCATCTAAAGCAACTCCTGAAACTTTATTTATGAGACTTTCATATTCAAAATCTCGACATTTTCACCAAAAACCTCATTTCACATTTCCATAAATTCCTCAATAATTTTGTTCAAAACATCTATCTTACTTGGGATCGTTGGATGCGCCTTGGAAAGTACTCCAAGAATGTATTAGGAAGCATCAGATGATAATGACAGTTTATATAGTCGAATATCATAAAATAAATTAAAGAAGTCGAAAAAAGATAATATCTGTCCAATCTTGAGCAGAGAAAAAGGTAACTGAGTTTGAATCAATTTTGGCGACGGTGCTGCTGCTGGCTGACCCAAATGCCTTTCTGATGATGACAATAATGCTGACATTGATGATTGTGATGTTAATTAAAGGGGATCTTGTGAGTATTTCCCTATAAAGATGTTTTTTTTGCAATAAGAAGCTCCCAGAAAGTGGTTGTGGATCTTTTACAAGTCCTACATTTGTGTATGGCTAGCTTTATGTCAACAGCATCAGCAAACGAGTACCTCTCCCTCCTAACTCTGATATACCTTTTTTTTTTATCTTATCTCTGATTTGGAATGTCTTCGGCAAGAGTCTTCAGGGCGTTGCCACCATTGAGCGTAGCGAGATCGATTGGCTAATGCAATACTGTATTTATATTCGTATCTTGTGTACAAATTTACTTTATGAAACACCATCTGGTGAAGAATCTTATCTCTGAGCCATCAAATTGCTTTTTGTGGCTAGAACGCTAAACGTATTTTGAGTTTGATCCCGACATCGAGGACGTGTAACATTTCAATTACACTGAGCTATGGTACAATTGAAACCGAGGAATTTAGAGCTTTACCATCTTGAGAGAATATACCGAATAAACAGTGATTTGCAGGATTAAAATCTTTGTGATACCTTCTGTTGTCTCTGAAGTTGAATACCTGTACGCACATTTGATGAGGGTCAAGATGGAAGGAAGAGTGCTGCATGAATAAAGGACAGATTTGTTAGACCCCGCCGTACAAGATGTGTTTGATTCGTATGTATGACACATTGTACATGGGTTGCATGTTATAAAAAGCCTATCTCTCAAAGAATTTCGCATTTGAAAGACTGTTGCGTATGCAATTTATACATTTATGTTCGTCTGTTTACAATATACTATTCATAGGTCATATCTAGCTAAATACATAGTAATCAAAATGTTGATCTGCATAATTAAGTGTGTATCAACATGCGTGATGTATTGCACAGGAAACTCCGAGAAGGGTTTCAGTAACGCTGAAAAGATTTCTCAGGGGATTCATTCGCATAAGCTTATCACATTCACTAGATAAAAAGCCTCAATAAACATAGAAACAAGTAGCATGAAAATTTATCATCACCCAGCAACAAGGATTATCAGCTGCTGTAAGTAATCACTCCTTAAATAGTCCTAAGTTTACACAAAACCAAGCAGTGGAGTAGACCTGAGCCCATGCATAAAGTAGTACAGAATTCATGAAACAATGACGATACACTTTACAATTTTCTTGTTTCCATTAACACCTCTTTTTCTCCGTTTTCCTCATCATTTTTTTTTTGAATAGCATGCTCAGCACAACAACAAAATCGTCGCAACAACAAAATCAAACGCAAAGAAAGAAGAAGAAGCAATATCAACAAGGTGATAAAATATTGAGCAGCTCGTCGCCAACATGGCTCCTGAGCTGGTTTTCACAACTGACAAAGCCAAACTTGAAATCATCTTCATCGTCCTCACACTCGTCGATATCGACAACACCAAGCGTCATTTTGCCATGGAAGAACAACCACAAAGCATCGCCTTCGTCATCAGTCGTGATAACAGATCCCATTAATGTCCCTACCATCAAATATACCCCATCGTCTGAACATGTAAATAGACCAGAAAAGCGATCTTTTACGCAGCAACCACAACAGCAAGATCAGCATCGACCCAGCATCACAATCTCCTTAACACCATCTGTTGTATCATCCGAAAGACGAAATTCTCAACAAACAATCAGTAGTTCATTTACTACATCTGATGATCAATATTCGACCACAGCCGCGTCATATTATCAACGTCGTGATAGCTCTGAGAGATCTATTCTATCTGAACTATGGTCCAAAGCAAGACGAAGGCACCCACATTATCCTCGTTTTCATTGGCCGCATCGACATGCGCAAAGCCTAGGAAGCAGCCCTCAACAACAGCCACCATATATGCGTGTTCAACCCTCAACAACCGATGATTCAATAACAGCAGCACAAGCACAAGCAGCAGCAGCAGCAGCAGCAGCCATCTCATGCCCCTCCTCCTATCGACATCAACACTACTTTCCAAGACATTTCAAGAGACACTCTATCAGCTCACTTATGACATCTGCTGATAACACACCTTCAGGATCAAGGCCAAATTCGGTCATGCTGTCTCAGCCAACTTCGCCCAATTTTGCAGCTCTACTCGTGAAACGGCAAAACGAAGATGACGATGTGGATAATTACTGGCTGTCGGACGAAGATAGCTGCTCTTGCCAGGTATTGAAAAAAGAGCGTTGGATCATCAAGCATGAGTTGATTACACTTGCTGTGGACGGGTAAGGTTCTTTGGGTTCAACAGAAATCAAAATTCATGCAAAAAAAAACGAATATATTTATTTTTAGGCTGTTTTCCATCCCTGAAATGGTTACACTATCATCCTCCATCGAAAAGCATGTGTTGCAGATTGGGTAAGTTGTCTACATGTGACAAGCCTGCATGTGTGTCTGATATTGGCATAGGTGTGGCGATGCTGCCTGGAGTATCGATGTCGCTATTCAATACCCCAAATGGATAGTGGTTGGCTTGGACGACGGAGATGGCGGTGGCGGTATCAATGGGCTATCGTTCAAAAGGAGTATCCCCAGAAATTTCAAATTTATACGACGAAGCTCTATTCTGCAAGGCTTGAAAAACCTACCCGATGGCACGTTTGATTTCATAGCATTTCGCTTTCTGCTCTTGGGATACACGCTTGAGCAATACCAAGCACTGATTGCAGAATGTCTCAGAATATGCAAACCCGGCGGATACATTGAAGTGATGGAGATGGACATGCGGATATACCACCAAAGGGCGCTATCGTTGTCTGTTACCCAGCTGCTCAACAATGAAGGTATGCTGTGCATTTGCAGGAAGCAAATCAGTTTGATCTAAACCTTAAGAAACATGACAGTGATTAGTGCCATTGAATCCCAATCTCTGGATCCAAGACTAGCTCGAAGATTGCAGGATCTGGTCGTGGAAGAAAAAGTGAAAACACACATTGAAGTAAAGTACATCTCGCTACCCTTGGGCGTTTGGGGAGGTCGATTAGGAGTGATGTTTCGTGATGATATACATGCCTTGATCGAGTCCTATCAACCAGAAATTGCTGAAGCAAGTCAAAAGCCTGCTCGATCAGAGGCCGAACTGGAGTACAAGACGGAATTGATGGATCATGAATTAGACTCGAACAGAGCATTCATGAATCTTCATTTGATGGTGATCCAAAAAGCCATGAATTAAAGATGTAATAAAACTCAATACGTGACGGGTAATCATTCCCAAATGCCTCGTTACCCCTTGCCAATGTGCCCAGCAATCTTGTTATTTTCCTTTCTTTATCAACAACAAAATGTCATTCTTTGGTGGTGGAGGTCTTCAACAAAATCAGCAAGCTATCAATCCTCAAAACATTGCGCTTGCCGAGCAAGAGCTCGAGATGGTCACTGATTTGTTCAACAGGTACATTTGATGATCGTATACGACATTTGGCTCTCGCATGTTAACATTTAAACATGTCTAGAATCGCTGATTCCTGTCATAAAAAGTGTATTTCGACCAATTACGACCAAGCCGATTTGAGTCAAGGCGAGGCTGTCTGTATCGATCGCTGTGTTGCCAAGTTTATCGATGTCAATACCAAGGTCGGTGAGAAAATGCAACAAATGGGCGGTCAGTAAACCATAAACTCCAACATTTCAACAAGAAGAGAGAAATGCAAAGAACATTGTTACCATTTTTATAACAACCCGCCTCTTTAAAAAGCTGTATATATAGGATCGTAATGAGAAGAACCAAGAAAATAAAACGCAACATGTCTGACATTTGAATGCTCAATCGGCCTGCATGCTTCTGTATTCTTCCGATGTGGATGGATCAATGAAATGCAAGTGTATTTTTAACAAACATAACACACGTATGATGACATGACTTGGGGGTTTTAAGGGGACAGAAGGATCTTGTATTTTTTTCATGACAAAAAAAGAGTGAGAATGTTCTGTAACGTTCGACAGACCCAAGAAACCAATAAAGGTTCTTTAGTGTTCTTTGCTGAATTTTCTTTTTGTAGCGAGAATATATAAAGAACCAAAATCTCGGAGTTTCTTATCCTTTCTTTCATTACACCTGACAAAAATTTGTCTCATAAAATACACACACAATCCTCATGAATCTAGCTTCATCTTTTATACCTTCCTCCTTTACACCAATGTCATCCACCCTATCGAGCAGCGACCGCAACTTTATAGAATTTACTCGCTGCTTATACAAGGCCAAGTCAGTGGTACAAGAATTGCAAGAATTTAGCAAAACAGTTGGCCCAACATTGTGTCTGTCTCCATTTGCACAGAAGCAGAGCTATGATCCCAGAATCTCAACGGATGAATTCATAAAGCATGTAAATCAGTATTTGGAAGATTCTTTTCGAAAATTCAACAACATGTGCCGTGTGCTCCTGATTGTCCTCACAAAATTGGAATCAAACCAGCCTGTTCGAAGAGAAAGAATCGATTCATTTAGACAGGAAGTTTTGAACGAGTGGAAAAAAGCTGACAAAGTGCGACAAGATCTACTGTTGTTAGTGCAAGATTCATATCAAGTATCCAAGCTGCCCTCGCCACAATCAATTCCATCAAGCTCTGACTATGACGAGGAAGACGATGAGGGAGAAGAAGAGCCTGGCTCAGAAGCAAGCCTGGAGCCCACCTTATCAGAAGACTCAACGACATCAGTGTAGCTTCGACTACCAAATACCTATATATACTCACTCATCATACTCACTCCACTCAGCATAAGTTTGACGCTCGATCTTGATCATGTCGATGCGGACAAAGTTGATAATGTCAGGACAATATGATTGCCTTGAACCACCAGTTATATATATATATATACCATTCTCTTTCTGTGTGTAATTAGTAATAAATGTTCCTTTCTTTTTCTTTTCTATACATTGAAAGTTTATTAAAAAAAAAAAAAAAAGAGGTATTTTATACAGTTTTGTCATCTTGTTCTCTGCAAACCGCTCTATGGCCATGCTTCCAATGATCTTTCTGACATTCACGGGAACAATAAGAAACTCTTTGACATCGACCACAGCGCTTGAAGCTTCCAGGTTCTTCTTCTTTTTTGTCACACATGACGTTGGCGCATTGACGATGAGAAGCGCTCTCGGGGGTTGCCTCCTTGGCAAGTTGGCGAATCAACTTTTCTTGATCTGCTTGGCTTAGTTTCTCAAAATTCTCCATGTTTTCCTTTTCAAGTGCAATCAACCATTTTTCTTGATCTGCTTGGCTTAGTTTCTCAAAATTCTCCATGTTTTCCTTTTCAAGTGCAACACGAGCAGCCATCTTGGCTCTCAAAATACGAACTAGGTAATTATAGGCTTCGAGATCGCCACGTACAAGTGCTAACTCCATGTAGTTTTGTGCCTTGTCCATGTCGTAAAGACCATAGTCTTTGGATCCAAAAATCAAACCAAGCATCATCATTGCATCCGCATCACCATTATTGGCCGCATCCTGTTGAGCAGCAGTCAATTTGTGTCATATTTACATAACTTGAATCATCATTTACCTCCATCAATTCAATGCCAGTGACAATGTAATCCTCAGGTTCACTGCCAGGGTTGCCAGCTTCTTTAGCCAATTCAGAGTTCTTTGACATGAGCAAATACATTCTACCAACTAGAATGATTTGAAACAGGTTATTCTACATGATAATATCATGCTGTAATCCTTGTACAACTTACGTGCATTACAGGAGGCGGAGAAACCCCATTGCTTTGCTCTTTCGAAATATTCTATGGCTTTCTTGATATCTCTAAAAGGGGAAGTATCCTTGACATACCCTTGATGAATGATACCCAGATTATGAGCTGAATCGGGATAGCCTATTTTAAACCTTTTCAGTGCATAGAACCTCGATTGAAGCTTATTGTTCTATTATACCTTGTTCGTATGCCTTTTGGTAATATTCAATGGCTTTTTCAATGTCCTTTTTGCATCCAACACCGTTCTCCAAAAAAAAACCAAGTTTATGACATGCCATCTAATAAAAAGTTAGTCTTTGTCTGGCTTCTCCCAATATCTAGAATCTTTTTTTTTTTATGCACACGCTTACAGGATTCAGAGCGTCGGCTGCTTTCTTGTACCATTCGTAAGATAAAGCCTTTGCATTTTGTCCCTCTTTCAAATTGGAACCACCAGCCAATTTCTCTTCTTGCATATAAATTGATCCAATTTGAACTGCAGCCATTGTATACCCCTTCTCAAACGCACGCTCCAATAAATGCTTTGCTCCTTCGAAATTAGGACTGGCGGCAGGACTCATGGAAGCACGATCCTCTGGCCCTGAGGGCTCACGACGGATACCACCATATAACAATGATCCCAAAACTAAGTCATGAATACTGCTGTCTTGATCTTCTTCCAATTGAAGGTCTTCAGCTGCTTTGTCAATGTTCATGTCGGTAGTGGATAATTTTTCAACGGCTTCATGTTGAGCATCGTCGAACAGCTTGTATTCCTCGGCCCATTTGATGTTGGCACGTTCAAGCTTGGGGAAATGTCAATGACAATCATGAATTGGGGTTTCGATCAAGCTTGCATACCTTTTTACCAACGCAGTTACGTTTTTCGTATTCAGTAGCAAGTTGTTGAGCGGCTACAGGTAATGCGGTTGGCATTTGCTTTGCAAACTCTGGGTCAGTCTCATTGTACAAGGCAACCAACAAACGAGACTGTTGCTCAGTCATGCCCAAGAAGGCAGGAATTTGCAAAGGCTCGCCGCCCATGGTGCCTTCGTGCATATGTTCTTGGTTGGTTGATTCAGCAGACATTTACGAGTTGAATTTTGGTTCAAGTAAAAAACAACGTTTTCAATTTTCAAAATATAATTGCTTTTGGCCTATCGAGAAAAAAATGCAGAAATTTTGATGTGGCTTGTAGATCGCAATCTGACAAAAAAAAAAGGGGAATTAAAGCACATCAAGTGGCTTTTTGAAGCCTCTGTCTTAACAATTGAGAGACATTGCTGGTAGATCGTCAAGGCATGCTGAATGAGCGTCAGGTTCTTGATCTGGTGGTGTTGCTTGCTATGCATTTCGATAATTGACATTTCTAATATGCAGTCCTTTTTGGTTATATTTACTTTTCCAGCAAAAGCAGTTAAAGCGGCTTTGATTAAACCAACTCTCTTGAGGATTTCAAAGAAAACAGACCTATGTACCTGTTTGCTAAAGTATATAGGATAAAGAAACACATACTATATTTTATGTATAGCATACGTTTCAAAGTAGAAAGGCGAGTCAGAGTCGTTTTGATCGCATCCAGTTGCTTTTTGGCAATAACTATGCATATTGAGGAGAGGTTACGCGAAGTTGAGGAGTGGCGATCTTTGCGAATCCCCTCCCCCCCACTTAACGCTGGCAGGATATCCACATAGCTCTACAACATCATCCAATGCGAATATTAATTTACCGTAAATAAAAAACACTATAGGTGGGTTTTAACAAGGTGCCTATCGGTTTTATCGATGCCCTTGGTTTCGATTATTCTTGCATCTATTTGGTCATCTAATGAGCTTTTTAGGAATCATTAGCATAAGATGTATAGAGAGCTGACCAAGTGTTGAGAGATGCATAATGGATCTGAATATTGTAAGTTTGCTAGGTAAAGAAACTGCAAGCAGCCTGAATATAATGCGGATGGTATTATGTGAACGTATGGTTCGAAAGAGTAATATCAGTCTACAGGAGGCGGCTTCAAATGTTTGTGCTTTTACTTTACAGCATTTTCTTCTATTCTGTGGCGGACACAACATAATAATAAGCTTGCCAACCAATTTTCAGATTACAATAGTACGGTAAGATATTTTAAAGTGTTTATACTTCGTATCGTAAATGCATAGCTTGAGTAAAAAACGACATTGCACATCGTGGTTTTAAACAGGTAAGGATGGAGGTAAATTTCAGTTTGTACACTTAAAAAAAAGTAGAATAAAGCAAGCTATAACTGTCTAATTTTAAAAGCAAAACTCTCCATCATGTCAAGTATCTATTGATAACTTAAAACCAGCAAGTTAATATGGCCCTTTTCGTACGCTCCGATTTTTAAAATGCTCGGTCAAATTCATTCTTGTGTGATGTACACGTGCAGAAGGTCAACGGAGCTTCAATTTCTATTGTTCTGAATGATGATCCATGGGATTCCGAAATCTAATTGACCTTAAAATTTTATCCAATCTAAAATCCAATTGCACCATCATCTTCTACGCAAAAAACTGTCATAGGAACATGTTACTTTTTGTCATAGGAACATGTTACTTTCAAAGCTCTAGCTCGAATTTTTCAAAATCGATGTTCGATCGTCCAAAAGTTGAAAACCTCAAAATCAAAAAAACATTTTGTACATCCAGGTCCTCATAGGTGAAAAGATTTTGAACAAAAATCCATGATTTTGCATGATACCCCTTTTTTTTTACCATATCTCAACAAATACTCATTGGATTCGCACAAAACAAGGACCATTCGATAGCTCTACATTATATCCATTATAATATAAGGGTTCAAGTACCAGATGTACGTTCCCTTCATAAACCTGCTCAAAATCTTATATTTCATGAGCTACAAGCAGGGGATAATCCAAAACTTTTTTTTTATTTATCTATAATAACCATATTATCGTATAGAGAATTGAAAAAGAAACAGAACCTATTAAGCTTTAAGCTCATGTTCACTTAACCAAAAAATTTCCTGTCGAATGAGCTATTGCTTGAAGCTCTGGCATAACTCTATTATAAAATATTGAAAATCTTGTCCTGACCAAAAAAATCGTCACCAGATTTTTGGCTTGCTATCACACGTAGATTTTGAACAAAAATCCATGATTTTGCATGATACCCCTTTTTTTTTACCATATCTCAACAAATACTCATTGGATTCGCACAAAACAAGGACCATTCGATAGCTCTACATTATATCCATTATAATATAAGGGTTTCAAGTACCAGATGTACGTTTCCTTCATAAACCTCTCAAAATCTTATATTTATGAGCTACAAGCAGGGGATAATCCAAAACTTTTTTTTACAACTCAATAACCTCAAGTCAAACATCCTCTACTTAAACCAAAGTATCAAAGTATTCTCTACAACTTTTAATAGACATATGACCCAGGTTTATATACTAATCAAAAAGTCTTATTAACAGCATCTGTCAAAATTTGCTTATTTTCTCAATTCTCCAATTCCTCATCATCACCGCATCAATCTAAAATCCAATTGCACCATCATCTTCTACGGCAAAAAACTGTCATAGGAACATGTTACTTTCAAAGCTCTAGCTCGAATTTTTCAAAAAATCGATGTTCGATCGTCCAAAAGTTGAAAACCTCAAAATCAAAAAACATTTTGTACATCCAGTCCTCATAGGTGAAAAGTTTAGAATCATATAAAACTGAAATATGTTGTAGAATGATGATATTGGGGCAACTTCTAAGTGGGAACATTACATTGAAATGTCTGCTTCATGAGTTAATCAACATTGGAGATGCTATTTTTAAGCGGGGGAATATGCATACCTTAAATTGCAAAATCTTATTATTATCAAACAAAGCAAGCTATAACTGTCTAATTTTAAAAGCAAAACTCTCCATCATGTCAAGTATCTATTGATAACTTAAAACCAGCAAGTTAATATGGCCCTTTTCGTACGCTCCGATTTTTAAAATGCTCGGTGAAATTCTTTTTTGATAGTAACCATCCCTTCAAACTTATACGAAACTTGTGAAGAATTCAAAGGAGAATACAATGGTATACATATCAAGTGTCTGGTGTACATTGCTCAACTGATTTTTGATGAGATAACTTTTGCGACTTTTTCACTGTTTTTAAAAGATTAATCAGTGTCTGTCATCAAAACATTTTGTTAAGCATTACTAAACATTGTAAACCAAAAAATTTCCTGTCGAATGAGCTATTGCTTGAAGCTCTGGCATAACTCTATTATAAAATATTGAAAATCTTGTCCTGACCAAAAAATCGTCACCAGATTTTTTGCTTGCTATCACACGTAGATTTTGAACAAAAATCCATGATTTTGCATGATACCCCTTTTTTTACCATATCTCAACAAATACTCATTGGATTCGCACAAAACAAGGACCATTCGATAGCTCTACATTATATCCATTATAATATAAGGGTTTCAAGTACCAGATGTACGTTCCCTTCATAAACCTGCTCAAAATCTTATATTTCATGAGCTACAAGCAGGGGATAATCCAAAACTTTTTTTTTATTTATCTATAATAACCATATTATCGTATAGAGAATTGAAAAAGAAACAGAACCTATTAAGCTTTAAGCTCATGTTCACTTAGTAACGTCAACCGGTACGGCCTTTTGAAATTTGTTCATTTTTACTATCTTTCCTCATTACTCATCCACATTGTCCTCAATAACCTCAAGTCAAACATCCTCTACTTAACCAAAGTATTCTCTACAACTTTTAATAGACATATGACCCAGGTTTATATACTAATCAAAAAGTCTTATTAACAGCATCTGTCCAAAATTTGCTTATTTCTCAATTCTCCAATTCCTCATCATCACCGCATCCAATCTAAAATCCAATTGCACCATCATCTTCTACGCAAAAAACTGTCATAGGAACATGTTACTTTCAAAGCTCTAGCTCGAATTTTTCAAAAATCGATGTTCGATCGTCCAAAAGTTGAAAACCTCAAAATCAAAAAAACATTTTGTACATCCAGGTCCTCATAGGTGAAAAGTTTAGAATCATATAAAACTGAAATATGTTGTAGAATGATGATATTGGGGCAACTTCTAAGTGGGAACATTACATTGGAAATGTCTGCTTCATGAGTTAATCAACATTGGAGATGCTATTTTTAAGCGGGGGAATATGCATACCTTAAATTGCAAAATCTTATTATTATCAAACAAAGCAAGCTATAACTGTCTAATTTTAAAAGCAAAACTCTCCATCATGTCAAGTATCTATTGATAACTTAAAACCAGCAAGTTAATATGGCCCTTTTCGTACGCTCCGATTTTTAAAATGCTCGGTCAAATTCATTCTTGTGTGATGTACACGTGCAGAAGGTCAACGGAGCTTCAATTTCTATTGTTCTGAATGATGATCCATGGGATTCCGAAATCTAATTGACCTTAAAATTATGCGTTTCTTGATAGTAACCATCCCTTCAAACTTATACGAAACTTGTGAAGAATTCAAAGGAGAATACAATGGTATACATATCAAGTGTCTGGTGTACATTGCTCAACTGATTTTTGATGAGATAACTTTTGCGACTTTTTCACTGTTTTTAAAAGATTAATCAGTGTCTGTCATCAAAACATTTTGTTAAGCATTACTAAACATTGTAAACCAAAAAATTTCCTGTCGAATGAGCTATTGCTTGAAGCTCTGGCATAACTCTATTATAAAATATTGAAAATCTTGTCCTGACCAAAAAATCGTCACCAGATTTTTTGCTTGCTATCACACGTAGATTTTGAACAAAAATCCATGATTTTGCATGATACCCCTTTTTTTTACCATATCTCAACAAATACTCATTGGATTCGCACAAAACAAGGACCATTCGATAGCTCTACATTATATCCATTATAATATAAGGGTTTCAAGTACCAGATGTACGTTCCCTTCATAAACCTGCTCAAAATCTTATATTTCATGAGCTACAAGCAGGGGATAATCCAAAACTTTTTTTTTATTTATCTATAATAACCATATTATCGTATAGAGAATTGAAAAAGAAACAGAACCTATTAAGCTTTAAGCTCATGTTCACT